ATGTAGGATTTTAAAGAGGTGAGACAAAGGGTGAATGGGGCGATGAAAGTGACTAAAAGCCCTTTTCCAATTTGTGGGGACACTTAAGACAAAGTGGGCAGGGGCATGCAGCAGGCTGGAGTTGGTCAGCTGTCGGGCGTAGTGGAAGGAGTAGGCTTGCACAAGATCATATGGGTTGATGTAATGTTGAGACATTTTTCAAGGTGAGGATCTTAACGTTGATATGTTGGGATAGAGACCCAGTGAAATTTGGTACAAGTGGAGGTGATATAGGTTCGAAAGTTCTATATGGTGGAGTTGGCAAGCCAACAAGTGGGTAGCTGCAAATACTTCTAGTATCATAGGTGTGGATTAGGGTTTTATCTGCATTGGGTTGAGGTAGCGGGTGATGTTCAGATGGAAGTAAGTGGTCCAAGCCCAGGTGAAACCAATGCTCTTTACCCTGGAGTTTGAGGTTAATTTGCTCATTGTGGGACAAGCTGCAGTATTGCCTATCTTTTCTCTCTCTTTTGATGTCAGTTTTTCTCTCCCTTGAGACTTTCCTCCTGCTTGGCATGGGTGCCTTCTGTTGCCTCACTAAAATGACCATTCCTATGAGAGCCTCAACAACAATTGTTACATTTGGAGTGAAAGGAAGATGGAGCTATTTTCACCACACTGGGATAATATCACCTGAATACCATATGTCCACACCTACTATAAACACAAGGATGGGAGCCCTGACTCTTTCCCTTCACCAGGGTTTACTGAGGTTAATTATAGCATTCAATCTGGTTTGCATAGCCTATTGCCAGCTAGTCCACGTCAATACTAGAAGCTCTGAAGACACAAAGTTCTTCCCCATCACATCCTTGTATTTGATACAGCATATTTTATATCAGGAGGATATCTCATTACAAGATTTTCTCTAAAGTGTAGTGACTGTTTGGTAGGCAAATGAAGCAGCTAATTTGCACACACATGTCCCGCAAATAGCCATGGAATGAATGATTAATATAACAAACTACTTGCATTTACATAGTGCCCTTCATGCTGGATGAAGTCTTGCATGAGAAACTGATCAAGACCCATGGAGAAATTCCCTTCTCCTACTTAATGCCATAGGGTCTAACGTCCAGCTAGATGGGATCTCATAACATCACATCTGATGGATGGCACGTCCGAATCAGGACACTCCCCAGCACTGATGGGAGTGTCATCTTAAACTGAGCTCAGAGTCTTGAGTTGGACTTTGAAATGAGAGTGCTAGCAACTAAGTCAGGATGACGCAGTGCCTTTAACATTCCTACTTCTAATCTATGTTTTTTTTCTTGTGCATGCTGGGGATTTCTCAACCTTCCCTCGCCCATAATTCAACTCCTCTGGCTCTTCAGTAGTGTAACTAACAACTTGCATTTATATACTCTGTTTATATTTACGTACTCTTCATGTAGTGTAATGCCTGAGCACTTCACAATGAAGGGGTTGGACACTTAGTTCTAAAATTGGGCTTGCATTATCATTCCAAAACAGATCATGGATCTTGATTCTACATTCTGAGGGATTACTGGATACTAATTTGGGCACTTTAATGGTTTCTTCCTCTTGCCCAGCAGATTAAGATTAATTTTGTATTGTAATAACACTGTTTACCTGGCCAAAACAGATTAAACCTGGGATTTTTCTGGGCTGTAGCTGTGCCTTGACTCAGTTATTGGGCATGCTTTGTGAATGTGTCATAGCAAAGCGAAATTATTCAAACTAGTTCTTGCAGTTTTTAGGTTGGAGGTGGTTTCAATTGTACAGCTGAATGTGACTGATTTGCTGGCTAACTTTTTTTATGAATGAATAAGAAAAAGGTGTGGCAGTTTGACGTTGCTGCTTTAAATCCTAAACCTGAGTTTGAAGCTTGTAGTAATAGAACCACTTGGCAGAGTATTTTTTATCCATTTAGAGCGAAGTCTATAAAATGTAATATAAAAATCTCTCCTGGATCTAGATTTACTCTAATGTAGTAGTTCAGAGCAAAACAAGTTTGGCAAATTGCTAAATAGTCTTAATTTTGAAGCTTTCTTTTCGATAAATAACTACAGAAAGCTGACTTTAAAGTTGAGACTGAATTCAGCAATTTGTCAAATGGAATCTAAACCAAACTGGAATATTATCTTAGTACTTTAATCCTGTTGACCAAAATTAATTTGAATAGTAGCTTGTATTATTTTCTGGGTAGGAAGGGGCTGAATTAATATTTTTCAGGAATGTTGTGAGAATGAAACTGCAAGAAGCTTGTGATCTTAGTTAACTATTTAACATGGAATTTAAGTCTCAGCAGTTGACCGAGGATTAAGTTTCTGACTACCACCTCCTAATTGGTCACGGTTCAAGTCTTTAATCATTGATACTTGCATTGTGAAGATTAGGTGTTATCCCCCACGATTGGAGGTTGCACTTTCAGCCACTACACCCCAAAACTCTGGTACACTCTCCCTCAATCCTTCCGCCTTTTCCTCTCTTTCAAGTCCCACCTGAAAACTTTTCTCTTCGACCGTGCTTACGGCCATCTCACCCTCCCCCATCCCCGGCTCAGAATCAGGCTCCACTATTGTTAAGCGCTCTTGAGACGCTATCCTGCATAGGGAGTGCTATTTAAGTGCAAGTTGTTATAGGTATTATAGTAGCCACATTCTCAAAGGACACAGAATACTAACTTGTAAATAACAAATGACTTAAATTCCTGTATATCTTCTCAGTTTTAAGCAGCGGTGAATTCACCCCCTCAATATGCTAAGTGAAGTACAAGACATATTTTGAGACCATGCCTAATGTGTCTGAATAAATAATAGTTACTGAGTATTCTGATATCTCTTTTGGGAGCAGATTTGAATTTGCAAAACTGCTCCCAATAAACTTAGTTTAAAGTAGTTAACCCAATGTGTCAGACTTATTGCATTTTTGTGCCTTTTTATTCCTTAAGCAGACGATCCCTTAAAATGATCCAAAGTTTATAGAATATAGAATCTTGCGTACAGAAGACTGGGTGCTTGTGTCAACTAGTCGTTAACCGGTGATCTTGCACTTGGCCTCCAGGGTTGAATGGCTCTTGAATCCTGGCTCAGTGGTAACACTCTTGCGATTGAGGTTGTGGGTTCAAGCCCCACATTGAGACATGAAGCACTCGTAGTTCAAGGTGACACTCTAATGCAGTGATGGGTGGGGGTTGTTGCATGGTCACAGTAACTGGGCAATGACAGTAATATACTCTGTTGGCCTGTAATGAAAAATGAGAATGAATTTCCTACTAAGTACTATTTTTCCGATTTCTGCTGAAAATGCGGTAATGCGTGTCTGACAACAATGATCTTTCTGCCCTCATTGCTTGTCAGTTCCTTGGGACATCCTCCCAATTTAAAGGTGCTATATAAATGCAATTTGTTAGGATTTGTATGTGACCACTTCAGGAGAAGTTGCTTTGGAGGTGTTTTCTTGTTTAATACTCTAAATTAAGTCAATAATATTGGCTCAATCATTTCAATTGTTTACTATTCTTTTGGAGAAAATAGCATTTCATCACCGTTTTGCTCTCATCTTGAAAGCAAGGGATTAATAGATGCTATAACTATTGCCAATATAATTGTTTACTGTTAACTTTTTTACAATCCAAGGGTTAGTGTAAGTAGCTTGTCTAACTAAAACCAACTTTGCTTAAGCATTTCCCAACAAAATATTTTTGTAGCAAAACCTCTAGACTGAATTCCTCATTGGCTGGCCAAGTGCACAGTAGGTTCATATCTGTCATTCCAGCATCTAATCATATGGCCTACAGATTCTGCCTGTTTGCTAGATTATAATGCAGTATGAGCACTGTCATTCCCAGTTTATCATACTGGGGTAACTGGCAAGATCTAGTGCACAGGCTTGTATTACTATGTATTTTACAATGGTTTACAAATCTGCCAACAAATTTTATAATTGCTACTTTGCATCTAACCTTATGTAGAAGCATAAGGTTAGCTCCTGTTTGTATCCTATTTTAGTAATTTGACTCAGTAAAATAGAGTTGAAACTTTGTCTACCTTCCTCATTTACAACAGAATCATTATTGGGATATCTAGCTGAAACTCCATACTGTACAATTGCAGTATGCACAAACTAACAGTTTTCTCCACATGTATCCATCCCAGTTATCAACCTGACTCATTCACCTGAGTCAGAAGGTTGTTGGTTCAAGCCCCACATGGGGACTCGAGCTTGTCTATGCTGTCACTCCAATGGAGTGCTAGGGGAGCATTTCATTGTCTGAGGTGCTGTCCTTTGGATGAGGCATTAAACATAGGTCCTATCTCCCTGTTTAAGTTGACATTAAAGATCTCATGGCACTGCTTAGAGGAAATTTCTCCCTGTGTCCTGGTCAACAACCAAGCTCACCACCAATAAAATTGGCCATCCACTACATGGCTAAAATTTTACCCGCAAAATATACAGTCAATTCACTTCAGTGTATTCTGTGAAGTGCTTTGAGATGTCTAGAAGCTGTGATAAGGTGCTATATCAAATGCAAGGATTATTATTATGGCAGCTTATAGGACATTGCTATGCTTATAATGGGCTGCCATGTTTGCCTAGAAAGTAATTCCTGTGCATTTACAGTGAAATCCTGACATGAAGTGCCACACCAAATGCAATAGCATTATCCCACTCCTCTTGGTAGGAGTTGTAGACCACCTAGCTCTTGCTCATTAAGAAAGCCTCAAGCTCAACCCGCAGTTGGATCTGGTGGAAAAAAGTAGAGTATTTTTGAGAGCTGTAAACTAGTGGTAACTTGGTGCTAGTATGCAAATGGTGTTAAGATATTTCATTGGTAACTATTCTGGTTTCTTTTCAACACACTGCATTTTCTTTTCAACACACTGGGAGTACCAGCAATGTATGCAGACTGTTACACTACCTGTGTGAAGGATACTATATAAATGCATATTTTACATAAAGAATTTTTTGTCACTTGCTTTGTTTTCCCCACACAGCTCCAGAACCTGGGCATTAACCCTGCTAACATTGGGTTCAGCACCCTCACCATGGAATCCGACAAGTTTATCTGCATCCGGGAAAAGGTTGGCGAGCAAGCCCAGGTGGTCATTATTGACATGAATGATCCGAGTAATCCCATTCGCCGTCCAATAAGTGCTGATAGTGCCATTATGAACCCAGCCAGCAAAGTCATTGCATTAAAAGGTAGGCTTGCATTTGCAGCTTTCCGTTGCTTAAATTTTTAGTGCACAATCCTGAGCATTGTTGGTCAGTGATGTGTCTTCTACACTGTCGACTTTTTGATTCCTGGCAGATCTGCATTTGTTTTTGTTCTTGATCTGCACATGATGTTTAAAAGCAATTTTTTTCAACTATCTTCTATTGTAATTTTTTTTCTCTCCCCAACTATCCCTTAACTCAAAAGTCTAGTTATAGTTCAGCTTTATTCCAACTAACGGTCTGAAACTGAGCCAGGCTACTTTTTACAAGTAATGGAAATGATCAATTGAATACTGGCCTCATCGTAAAGTGACTTGCAGCCTCATACAAACTTAATTCATGTAGTGTGTTACTCAACTATTGAGCAATTGAATTTGGGTTGGCCAGGAAGCTAGGCCTAAAATACAAGTTTGAGTAGACTGTTGGCCATTACTGCCACCTTGTCTCACACCTATACTAGCTGGTCAACTCCCTTCTCTACATTGAAGGTTAAGTACCAAAGAGATGTACCTGTTGCAATTGTCTCTCTTCTATTGGGGTTTGGGTTTCTGAGCCAGCATTTGCCTGGTTTAGATGCTCGGTCCAGTTTACTAATCCAAAACTCCACTGCCCGGGTAATCAGCTGCACAAAACTCCGTAACCCATCGTACCAGTTCTTGCCTGGCTCTCAGTTATCAATTGGATCGATTTCAAGATCCTCATTCGTTTTCAATTATTTCCTGCCCTCGTACCTCCCAACCTATCCGATCTGCTTACCCCCCTACTCCACCACTCGCTTCCTCCGCTCAGCTAGTTTTGTCCTTGTCCTCTCTCTGCTCCACCATCGGTGTCTGTGCTTTCTGCCATTTTGCCCTGAAACTTTGGAACACACTCCCTCCATCCTTATGACTTGTCCCGTCCATTCCCACCTTCAAATCCTGCCTAAAAAGACCTTTTTGATCGTGCTTATGGTCACCTTTCTGCTCCCCATTAATGATTGCAAATTCTCCATCAGCTCAGTATCCTAAAGAAGGAAATCTGTCTTCCTAGATATTATTTATCATCAAAAGGTTTAAGTTGCTCATTAACCCAATTCCAGGAACTGTTTGCTAAAAGTTATTGATCACCAAGGTGGGGTGATTCCTGGTATGTCAAACAATTCCTGAAGATCTGAAAGTTCAACACTTAACTAAATCAGTATCTTTTTGTAGTTTATTGCAGGGCTATTAGATTTGACACCTTCTGCAGTCCTGTGTGCCATGTCTGTTGGCATCTAACTTCTGTAGGACATCCTCTCCTAGACCACAATCTAAAGGTTGTCAGTATTGTGATTGACTGACTGATTCTGATCTTGTGCTGCCAGGGTCAATGTAGTGATTCTGTTCTAGGCATTCTGCCTGGGAAATATCCCCAATTAATATTGTGTGTTCAATTTGACTGCTAGGTTTGTATCCAAATAGTCACTATACTGCACAATAAATCATGTGAAGCACTTTGAAAGTCAACAATGTGATACAGCTATAACAAATGCAAGGTTTATTTGGCCTTTGCATTTCTGCCCTGAGGTGCCAGTTTCTGTTCATTTAATGCTTGCTTTTTCAATGCTTCTTAAAGACGACCAGTTCTATTCAAAAGAATCGGACCCTTTCTAGATCTATAGCATCCTGGATACCTACAATGGATCTGCCACGTACCATTTGAAAACTAGTTTAGTCTTTGGTCAGTGAATCAATTTCCCTGTTATCTTTGAACATTTGACAAGTGGAGTTGCTTTGAACCATCTGAATGGGCCCAAGTGTTCCTGAATGTAGAAAGGTTTTCTACCCACCCTACACCACCAACCTGTAAGTCACTGCTACCCATGATTTGACTTGCATGGCAAAATGCAATTTTGTAGTTTGAAAAATGCAGCTAAATGTTGTACAGTTGGCATCTTATTTGGTTGTAGCACTTCAAATGGCAGTATAACCTTATTAGCCTTGGAATTAAACGCAACGTTTCCTTTTTAATTTTTATTTGAACAGGGGGTGACATTGAACTGGCTTGGAACTACTGATCTACAGAGCCAAAGCATCAACAATAGATTAAGCCAAAACATGTTTATGTCTCCTCTCTCCCTACCCCCCCCCATATTGATTCTAATGTATCCTGTTTGTGGGACCTTGTGTGCAAAATTTGCCAGCAGCGCAATATCTGAAGCACTTCTGATGTTAGACACTATTTAATGTACAGATAAGATCTTCATACTGATCTAAGTCTTCCGGTGTAACCTAGTAATTTTACGCTTTAGACTACAGGAAGGGTTGGAGTGTATGGAATCTGCTGCTGTTCCAGAATATTGTAAAGTGATTTGTGTCATGAAATGTGCAGCTGATCTACTATTACCACTTGCTTTATTTATGATTAACATTTTATTTCTTCCAAAGGAGCTTTGTTTTACTGATTCAATTACTTTGCATTTTTTTTACTGCTTTCTTGTGTAAGCAGATGGTGAGTTACTTCAAATGTAGACTTTGTTAGTGCTGGTCCTGTTTATAAAACATAACACTTGTGTGTTCAGATTACCTCTCATGCTTGGTATTCAACAAATTGAGATGGTCTGAGGCTCTTCAAATTGATCTACCAACTAGGTGCAGAAAGTTGATGTGGCAGTGAGCCTGAAGGTTCACTTGTTCTAACTAGGCAATGTGCTGCAACTTTCTATCAAGCTTGTCCACTTCATGAAACCTGAGGAGAGCTCTTTCTTTGCTTGTTTGATGCTCTCTGGGAATACACTTGGGTGAATAAAATCTTGTAACTGCATACACAGGAATGTTTAACTCAAACTATACGGTCAACAGTGCAGAGAAATTGAAGCCTGCAAAGGCTGGCATGTTTGGTACATTGACATTCTTTGACCATTTGGTCAAATACAACTTTATTGGGTGCTTCATAGCTCAGAAAATGGCCAGATAAGAAATGTTATGCATGTATGCTGATTTTTTTTTAGTCTAGTGTCTTGCAAGCTTCAGGTGGAATCTGACACTTTATTTCCCTGACCGTTACCTCCTCGTCATGTTTATCCCCCTCCCCATTCTAAATACATTTCTGCCTTAAGGCTGTAAGTTGTATTTTATGAACGGGACCAGAACTTTTCTCAGAGCCCTGAGCCTGAATTTTGCATCTGATTGCTGTGCAGTGTTGTGTACTTTAATTATTTGGGATGGGAACAAGCTTGGCCAACATTCTTGCAGGTATAGATCTAGGAGGAGTCTCTTATGAAGTTTATTTCCAATGCATCAGCTGCATTGGATTTTGCCATTTATTAAACATGGCTTTCCTTTTGCTGTTCAGAATAGTTTATTTTGGTAGAAAATTACTTTAATAAAAAAATCATTGCAACCTAATGTGAAACCTGTTCAAGCTCTCGGAATATTCACTTAAGACCTGCCGACTGCACTGCGGTTAGAAATTTTGGGGCGATGGTAGAATCTCCTTCTAATCCTAAGCTTTTTAGATGTACTTGCTGTCCAACACAAATGCTTCAAAATAAGAAAAATTCTCGAGTTTGTCACCACCTGCCTTAGCCTGGAGTCTAGCAAGTGGTGAAGCTATTACAGTAATAGTTGGTGTTCCCATCCTTGAATGCTGTACTGTTGCCTGTGCTCTAAAACTGCATACAGATGAATGACTGGATTGGTCCTTCTACCATTCACATGTAATGCAATTTTGTAAAACTTGTANTTTTTTACAAAACTTAACTGTTTTGAAATTCTACCATGTTTTTGTTTTATCATGGATCCAGTAACTTGAGTAACTAGCTAGATTTTGCAAAGCTTTCTTCCTATCCTGATCTCTCCATTAGTCAACTAACTAGCCCTTTTTAGTGGAGACAGATTAAAACCGTAACTTTTTAAATGACCTTGTGCCAGGGTTCATACGTTGAAGTTCACAATTCAACGCTGTTTGTGCTTTTGTTGCTTGTGGATTTGTCTGGGCAGCTTGCTGGCTGCAAGTTACCTTAGTCAAATCAGGCAAATTAACTGTGAAGCTAGTCTTATTTGTAATAGTCTCAGTGAACCTGACGTGGCAATAGTTTTCAATAACTGATTTTGTTCATGTATTAAATTTTGAAGGCAGTTAAAACCTTATGTGTGGGGGGGAGAAAATCACAATTTTGGGTACACCACTTTTAGTGTGCATCTGAATTAACAATCTTTTACAGCTGGGAAGACGTTGCAGATATTTAATATTGAAATGAAAAGCAAGATGAAGGCTCATACTATGGTGGATGATGTGACTTTCTGGAAGTGGATCTCGCTGAACACCATTGCCCTTGTAACGGACACTGCAGTCTATCACTGGAGCATGGAAGGAGAGTCTCAGCCAATCAAGGTCTTTGACAGACACTCCAGTCTGGCAGGCTGCCAAATCATCAATTATCGCACCGACGCTAAGCAAAAGTGGCTGCTGCTGATTGGCATATCTGCACAGGTGAGTCCAGTTATCTTCTCAGAACACCGCTGTGTGTGAATGCAATAGAATACCAATGTGGTCAAGGACTGCATGTCTGTAGGTGACTAGGATGTAGTCATAGAATCCTGCAGCCCAGAAGGAGGCCATTCGGCCTGTTGTACTGGTGCTGGCTCTTCGAAAGAGCTATCCAATTAGTCACACTCCCCTGCTCTTTCCCGTAGCCTTGCAACTTTTTTTCTTTTAAAGTATTTATCCAGTTCCAGTCTAGCAGATGGTGAGTAAATTGTATAACTCTAATCAAATTTCCAATAGTAAATATGAGAGCCCTAGTTTTTTTTAGTTGTTGTGTCGTTAGTTTGAATTTTCATGTATGGTCAGCAGTTATCCAATAGGGCTGCCGGCTTCAATATATTCTCCTGCAGAGTCTATGGTCTAAGTAAAAAAACTAAATTGGGAACATTAACATTGTTAGTTTCTTCACTGATAAATGCCTTGTTTTTGGGGAGACATAATTTGTTAAGATGACATTTTTTAAAAAACCTGTAAGTTGCCTCTTAGGCATACATCAGTTCACAGCCTGTTCCAGTAATGCTTACACAGTAAGCCGGTTCTGGGCATGAATACCCAACCCGAAACCAGCCTCGCTACAGTGCTGGATTCAGGAGTACATGCAGAGTTGTGGGAATATGTGCAACATATTACAATCAATTTTTAATATTAAAACATTGGTCACTGAAGCCACACTTGTTTGTGGGACACTACTATGCACATTTGGCTGCTGCGTTTCGCCCATAAGATAATCAATCCACTTTACAATATATTCTGGAGCACTTTGAGACATCTCAACGACGTGATAAGGTGCTATATTAAATGCTATTATCATATTGCATACCACAGGTAATTCCAACATCCCTTTTAACTGAATTTACCTAATTTGTTAAACTTTCCCTCTCTGATTTTCTCCTTTTTGATACCATAAGATCCTGAAATACTCGATTTGTAAATTTCAAAACTGTAATGGTCTCTATAAAATGAAGTCTTCAAACAAGCATTTGGCGGATAAACAAATAATTAATTTTGCTCTTCTATAGTTGAGAGATTGAAGAAAGAATGGATGTTTGATTTAGAAAGTGTATTTATTTAGTCTAAGTCTTCGTGCCTTGCAGTATGTTATCTGTCAGGCTAATGTTTTGTAACTATTTCACTCCCTATAATGTTTTGAAACTTTTGTTTCAGCAAAATCGTGTTGTGGGTGCAATGCAGCTCTATTCTTTAGACCGAAAGGTGTCCCAGCCTATCGAGGGGCATGCAGCAGCTTTTGCACAATTCAAGATGGAGGGCAATGCAGAGGAGTCCACTTTATTCTGCTTTGCTGTGAGAGGACAGGCTGGAGGCAAGGTGAGTGAGTTCAACACTTGTGGTGTAATCTTAACAGTAGATCTGACAACTTGAATCTGAAGACTGGTTCAGTTTCACTTCTTTGAAATATGATTGAGATGTTCTATAATTAATGGAATATAGTGATCTGATGCAGTTTTTCTTGAACTTAACTGGAAAATCTTCCTGATTCCATGTTTAATGAAACCATTTTTAAATTTCAATTTAAATTGCTGAACTGAAACTGAAGTGAAACATGTATATACCACTTCCTTGGTTTAAATTCGTGTAAATTGCTTGCGAGAACCTTCAGGTTGGATTAGCTGGAGCCTTCTATATTGTAAGTTTAATGAACTTGTTTGTTTCCTTTGGCATAGAACATTTATCTGCAAGAATCGTGGATGTTTTAGTAGAAATATGATATAGAGCAAAACACTAGATTTTTGGACAAAACCAATTTTTTCCTTGTAGAATTCCAATTGATATATTCTTATACAACCCGAGATCTATTTGCTTAAACAAATTTCACTCTGTGGAGTCCTGTAGCTCAGTGGTTAGAGCACTCACCTTGCAAGCGAGAGACTTGGGTTCAATTCTCTGCAGGGCGAAACCGTGGGCAAGTTTCCCTTCTCCTCATGTCTAATAATAATCCCTCAAGAAAAAAAATGTTGTCACTTCCATCCACGGCGGTTTGTGGGACACTGCTGTGTGCAATTAGCTGCCACTTTTTGCCCATAAATAGTCAATTAACTTAACAGTATATTCCGTGAAGCGTTTTGAGACATCCAGAAGACATGAAAAGTACTATACCAAAAGCTGTCACTATTGATTTTGAGCCTTTTTAAATTAAGATTTAAATTACCTCTACAGAGTGCCTTAAACTGTACGAACAATAATAATGCACGTGCAGTCTATTTGGCACTTTATGATGTATAATGATATTAGACCATGCAAATCTATTTAAGTAAATGCAAGTCTATGCAAATATGTAGAGCACCTGGGTTCGATTTCCAGGTGGACGAAACACTTGTCAAGTTTCCTTACTCCACACGCCTCATCTTACCTAGCAGTAAGTAGGAAGCCAGTTGTTAGTTGATTGGCAGATTGCTTTCCGTGGGTAATAATCCGTCAAAAATTAAATCCACGGCTATTTCTGGGACACTGCTGTTAGTAATTGGCTGCCGCATTTTGCCCACAAAATATACAGTTATTCATTTTACAATGTTCTGTGAAGTGCTTTGAGATGTGTCTATGACGTGATCAGGTGCTATATCAAATGCAAGGGTTATTAGTATTTACAGTTGAGCATATTTTTGACACCCTTTATGGCTTTGACTCTGTTAATAAGCCTTTGTAATTTTGTGTTCCTGCAGCTTCACATCATTGAAGTAGGAACTCCTCCTACAGGAAACCAACCGTTTGCTAAAAAAGCAGTGGATGTCTTTTTTCCACCTGAAGCACAGAATGACTTTCCTGTCGCAATGCAGGTAACTTTGTACAGATGGTGTCATTGGCAATAAAATTAGTTTAGTGTTTGGCATGAATCACTCTTGAAAGGCACATTTGAATATATTGTGCAACACTGTTTGGACTCCAGTATTAATTCATATGGTCGCATTAACTGACTGCTGTTAATTAGATTGGGTAAAATTCTTCTGATAATGAAATGTAAGCTTTCACATTTCAATGCAAACTCAATTATTTCTATTCCCCAAAAGATCAGTACAAAGCATGATGTTGTTTTCCTGATCACAAAATACGGCTACATCCACCTGTATGATCTGGAAACTGGTACCTGTATCTACATGAACCGAATCAGTGGTGAGACCATCTTTGTCACAGCCGGACATGATGCTACTTCTGGAATCATTGGTGTGAACAGGAAGGGTCAGGTAAAGTTTAAACAAATTAATTTGTTTGGTGACTTTGTAACGAATAAATTGCATTTTTTTAATATTCCATTGAGGTTCCTATTCTAAACTTTTATGGTCCATACAAAAGTACTAATAAAAAGGCTTAGTTGTAGCTCGCTAACAAATGCAGACCTCTAACCCAAATAGTCTTCAAACTAGGTATGCAGACTTCTAGCAATAGCTGTATGTAGATGGCAATTCCAAGAAGTTTAGATACAACAATATTGCATTTATAATAGTGCCCTTCACATGGGGTAGTGTCCCGGATACTTTTGGATCTGGTAGATTTTTGCCATTCCAGATATTTTTACAATTATTTATAAAAGCAAAATATCTTGCATTCAACTGTTTTCTTATAAATTAACTTATATATAATAGTTAAAAGCTAATAAATATATTATATATATATATATATATATTTCAATCTTGCATACTATGGTTGAGGACACGCGATGAAAATTTTATATATTTGTGTATATAATATAAAATGTATACATCTTTTCATCTTGTGTCCTCAACCATAGTATTCAAGGTTGAAAGATTTTCAATGGGTGCTTGATCACGCTGAAATTCAGTGTAGAGGCATTAAAAATTGAAAGTGGAAAGTTGATCTTACACCAGCTGCCACACTCCACCAGTGGTCCTTTTTCAGAATAGAAATGATGGTAACCTGAATTAAATAAGAATATTATTAATCCACAAATGCCCATACTTCTACAATCTATTTCTCAAACTTGTACTTGTCCATGGTTAATGCCACAGCTTAATTAGTTCAATATTCCCAGCTTCATGCATAAAGAGCTGAGTTCTAGTTACCTATGGCAACTCATGTTTCCATCTTGTTGCAGACTAGTACAGGAAACTGATAACTTGACCCTGGCCTGTCACTACCACTAAAGTCTTTTTTGTATTTTTGTAATGTATTTTTAATATAATTTTATATAATGCTGTCATTATCCTGGCCACGTATTTATAATTATGCCTAACTTGTCACTGAACTTTTTTCCCCTCTTGGAGTGACAAGTTAACAGTTTACTGTACAGTTTGATGCAAAGTGCACATTCAGGCAACTGGGAAGTGTCTTAATGTTCCATGACCTTTGATTTGAGTGCAATAAGTCTTTGAACTGTATTTCACACCCAGTGCTTGCTGAGGGATAACCTTGAATTGACTTGCTTTTGCCCATGTTTTGCCTACAAAATAGTCACTACACTTTACAGTATGTCCTGCAAAATGCTTTAAAACATTCTCCTGATGTGAAGCACAGAAGAAGGCCATTTGGCCTATCATGTCTGTGCCGGCTCTTTGAAAAGAGCTACACAAATCAATCCCATTCCCCCACTCTCTCCCCATAGCCCTGCAAACTGGTCTTCCCCAAATAATTATCTGACTTAACACACATATGAAAATTTCAAAATGTTTTAGTGGAGAACTAAATCATTTTAATTGATGTACTCCAACCTTGTCCAGTTTTCTACCTGAAATTTAACTTAATTTTACTACAAGCACTGAAAATCGCTCATATTAAACTGGAAGCCTGTTGGGCTGTGGAAATTTGTGGGTTAATCCTTGCTAAACTAGCAAGCATCAAGCTGGATAGTCCATAAATCTTTAATCCTGTTGAACTGCAAGGTGAAGCTCCAGTAAGAGTGCTTGTATTTTTTAATATAATTTTTATAATCCTAATCCTGGCATTCGATATAGCGCCTTACCACAACATCGAGACTTCTCAAAGCGCTTCACAGAATATAATGTAAAGTACCTGACTTGTAGTTTCTTCGCCTACAATGTAAAGGTCTAAAAGGAGAAAGTTATAGGCTAGGATCCTTTTTTGAATCGTGCCATGTGATTGTTAGTGTCCATCTGTCCATTTTGCCCACAAATGTACAGTCAATTCACTTTACAGTATAGTCTGTGAAGCGCTTTGAGATGTCTAGAAGACGTGAAAAGCGCTATATCAAATGCAAGGATTATTATTATCTGACAAAGTTGATGTTTAACATCTCATCCAAAATCTTCTTCCCCCAACATGGTATTGCAGTCTCAGCCTCGACTGACCCCAAAGTCCCAAAATGTGGCTTGAGCCCACAACCTTCTCGTGCAGAGATGCAAGTGAGTTGGGCTGATATTATCTTGGGTAAAACCGTTAACTAGCCTATGGTTAGTGTCCTTTAAGTTAGCAATTTGAGTCCTTGCCCAAGGAACAGAAATAGAACAGAAATCAACAGTCCAGCTGCATGAATAGTTGCAGAAATGGCACAGTGGCCTTTACAATAACTAATTTGTATTAAGGGTTTAGACAGACTGTCGAGAATAAATCTGGAATTGTGATGCATGGAACAAGCTGGACTGCGCATATGTGTTAGTTCAGTTTTCCTACACCAAACCACTAACTCGTTTAAAAATCTATTGCCAGCTTTGTTGTACTGATGATGGCAGACTTAAAGCTTCCTCCCTTTTATTTCAGGTGTTGTCTGTTTGCGTGGAGGAGGAAAACATTATCCCTTACATCACCAACGTGCTGCAAAACCCAGACCTTGCTCTACGCATGGCTGTGCGAAATAACCTGGCTGGGGCAGAGGAACTCTTTGCTCGCAAGTTTAATGCTCTCTTTGCACAGGGCAACTATTCTGAGGCAGCAAAAGTAGCTGCAAATGCACCGAAGGTACAATCAAAATGCTGGGTTATGGGGAAGAGATGATTGTATGTAAAGTAGGACAAATATTCATGTAGGAATTGGCTAATGGTAACATTTAAGAAAGGAGGTACTTGAACAGGGATGAAAGGTCCGCCTAGCCTTTGTTTGAGGTCTATTCTGTGGCTTATGACCATGAGGCTAAGGTATTGGAGGAAAAATGTAAACTAAGGCCCCAGCAAATCCAAGAAGGCTACCTATTGTAGTTTATTTTGAATAAAAGTAGGGAATGTGAGCAAGCCATTTAAAGTGGGACCTTGCAACCAAATACGTTTGACACAAAATTGACTCATTTTTTATTTAAAATGAAACTCTAGGGTATCTTGCGCACTCCGGACACAATCCGACGATTCCAGAGTCTACCAGCTCAGCCAGGACAAACCTCGCCACTGCTTCAGTACTTTGGGATCCTGCTTGACCAAGGGCAGCTGAACAAGTTTGAGTCGCTGGAGCTGTGCAGGCCGGTGCTTCAGCAGGGTCGCAAGCAGTTGCTTGAGAAATGGCTGAAGGAGGACAAGGTAATACTTGCATGATTCTTCTCATTGTTAAAGATGTTGAGTTTTGAGAAATTAAAACTGATCTAGATGATGCTGGGGATCTTGGTGTTCACGGGAACTTTGTGCAATTGAACTGTTGGAGAACTTGAGGCTTGATACTATTGAGTCGAACTAGTTTTAAATGGCTGCACTTCCAAAAGATTTCACTTTTTTCAGATTATTTGTTTAAAATTGTATTTCTTCATGTTAGCATTTTCTTCCATTGTTCAAAAGCTTAAATTGGATAATGTAATTACTTTTTAATGCTTCCTCTTAATTGTGTGGCCAAGATTGAACAATTTCCTCTTCTATTCCAAATGTGTTCAGTTTTGTTGCATAAACCTTTAAGTTGATTTTTTTATTGATTTTAAAAAAATCAATTTAAGAAGCTATACCGATTGATTATCTGATTGTAAATTGCGGCCTAATGCATTTTCTTGCTGTTCTTGCAGTTGGAGTGTTCTGAGGAGCTGGGAGATCTGGTAAAATCGGTGGACCCCACACTGGCACTTAGTGTCTACCTGAGGGCTAATGTGCCAAATAAGGTGATTCAGTGTTTTGCTGAGACTGGCCAGTTTCAGAAGATTGTCCTCTATGCTAAGAAGGTGAGTTAATTCTGTTAAGTGATTGTTTTGTTTTCAAAAAGGATCCTCTGTTGAGCATTGTCTAATTGGAGCCTTAATTTATATACGGTGGCTATTTGAATAAAAGGTTTCAAAAAATGTGAATTTATTGTGCTCTTTGCTTCCAATCTATATCTTGGTGCCCAGTAAAATAGGAAATTCCAGAAGTACACACTTTACTGTTATAATGCATGTTTTTTAATGTATAATTTCTCAGTAGTGGCTAAATTGGAAAATCATGGCAGACTAATAGTAATCTTCTTATTTTTTTGATGCGTTATCAAGTTGTCAATGTGTAAGATTTCTGTGAAGTGACTGCCTTAGCCAAATGTCATTTGTGCAATACATGTAAACACTTATAATCTACTTCATATCTTAAGAATTTAGCTGCTGAACTATTAAATCTGGGTCAGGTGTACCTTAAATTAATTTACAGTAAATCTTATTGTAGCATCACTAAATCCATTGAAGGCAAAAGCAACTCTCTAATTTTGTAAATGTGATGTATGTATATTGCCTAAATACTTGTTTTGATGATAGGCTAGCATGCATATTTATTTTTGAAAGACTGTTCTGAGCATATAATGAGGCTCAAGTCTAGCCGGCTGAACCAGATTATCAAAGGGTTGCCTCTGTAGGTAGAATGGTAAACTGTGGGATCCCATTGTACTAATTATACTGTTTGCTCAGGTTGGCTACTCTCCTGACTGGATCTTTTTGCTGAGGAATGTAATGAGGGTTGGACCTGACCAAGGATTACAGTTTGCTCAGATGTTGGTGCAAGATGAAGAGCCTCTTGCTGACATCACTCAGGTAAGATAACCTGATCCTTTGTTTTTTAAAAAAAATGGTGTAATGGTATGAAAGTAGTATTGTGAATCATTAATCTTTTGCAGTGCAGTGAAGGATGAATGAATTTCCAGTTGATTCACATCTCAAAAGATCATTTGAAGAAACATTTTGCACTGAAGCTCCTTATTTTCTCTGAAATAATTCTGTTCTCATGGTAGCTGTGTGTGAAAATGATTGAGTTTTGAAATTATTTTCTTTTCTGCCTCCTTTGCTACCTGTGTTTTTTCCCCCCCAGGGTCCTGTACAGTATTATCCTTTGTGCTGGTACCAGATGCCAGTTGTGGAACGATAACAGCTGATTGACCTTACATCGATATAGTGTTCAAGTCTTGCCTTAAATTTGTTAGTGTCTGTTTGGAACAAAACCATTAATCTGAAGTACCCTACTTTAGACCAATTAACTTCACTCATTGAGCCTTTGTAATGGGTAAATTAAGGTATGATTTCAATTGAGAATCTTAATCTCGTTGCAGATTGTTGATGTCTTTATGGAATACAACCTGATTCAGCAGTGCACCTCCTTCTTGCTCGATGCCCTCAAGAATAACCGTCCATCAGAAGGTCCTCTGCAGACTCGCCTTCTGGAGATGAACCTTATGCATGCTCCTCAGGTATGACTTTCAACAGTGACTAAGGTTCTTAGAGGCTCAGTAGGTGTTGATCTTGATTCATCCACTCATGCAGAAAGTAGTTTGACAAAAGATTGATGCAGCAGTAGTAGAATAAAACCCATCTGGTGCTGGCAGTTTGTCCAAATCCTGAGGGAGGTTAAAATCAAATGAGAGATCTGACTGATTCTCTGTTTGATTCCAAGTGTTTAGAGGGTGATGATTATCATTTTTCATAACTGGAATAAAATCTGGAAACTACTCCCATCAACTTTCTAGTGGTGGGAAAATGGAGCTGAATAATCAGGAAACCTGTTCATTCTCTGCAGAATGTTGACCATCAGTGGATTTAAGGACAACTTGTGTTTAAATATTTAAGAAGGACACATTGTAAGGATTGCTATCCAACTGCTTTAAGCAACATTGATTATGACTAGCAGCAGTACTCATCAAATGGTAGATAAGTACTGACAAACCTGAAAAGCTACATCTAATTTGACATTTCAGCTCCCTCTGGTGGTTGCACTCGACCATTTGCAAAGTGACCTGCAACGCTCTTCCAATCTACGCAGTTTCTGCTGGAGCTGAAAGACACTGGCAATTAATAATAATCCTTGCATTTGATAGTGTCTTATCACATCTTTGAAATGGCTCAAGCACTTCACAGAATATACTGTAAAGTGAATTGACTGTATATTTTGTGGATGAAACGTGGTAGCCAATTGCGCACAGCAGTGTCCCACCTCGTGGATTGAAGTTACCAATTTTAAGATTCTAGATTACGCAGCTTAACGAATTGTTTAACCAAAAAAATAATTTTGTGTGGTTTGCAGGTTGCAGATGCTATTCTTGGCAACCAGATGTTCACTCATTATGACCGTGCACATATTGCTCAACTTTGTGAGAAGGCTGGATTGCTGCAGAGAGCACTGGAACATTACACTGACCTCTATGACATTAAAAGGGCTGTTGTACATACCCATCTTCTTAATCCTGAGGTCAGTAAATACCTTAATCCACAATCATGCAGAAGCATAACTACTGCAATTTAATTGAAGACTTTCTTTCGATCCTCAATGCATGCTTTGAGTTTCTATTTTAAGTAGCTCTTTTAAAATGTGTGGAAGCATTCCCTCATAAAATGTGAACCTGTGTTGACAACCAGGCTGTTAATTTTTTTTGTCTCCCTCTTCATACAGTGGTTGGTGAATTACTTTGGTTCCCTATCTGTTGAGGATTCTGTTGAATGTCTGCGTGCTATGCTGTCTGCAAACATCCGTCAAAATCTGCAGATCTGTGTGCAAGTTGCCTCCAAATACCATGAGCAGCTTGGCACACAGCACCTGATTGAACTGTTTGAGTCCTTCAAGAGCTTTGAAGGTTAGTGACTTGGAATGTTGCCTTCAGTTAAACAGTATTTTTGTAAAATGACTATTGGTTGGTGTGTTCCTTTTTTGTTACGATAAGAATGTCGTTCTAATCAGCTTCTGGAAATAGGAAAATGAGACCATTGTATTCAACTCTAAGAAAATGCTGTATGTAGTATAACGGGTGTTATCTAGGCAACCAAAAATAACTCAGCAATGATACAAATTTGTATATTTGCATTTAATACAAGGAGTATTGTCAGCCAGAGGTAGCATGAAATGACAGTATACCTCATTTCCCTATATAATTTTTTGTTGTATTTTAAGGCCTCTTCTACTTCTTGGGTTCCATTGTAAACTTCAGTCAGGATCCAGAGGTCCACTTCAAATACATCCAGGCAGCTTGCAAAACTGGGCAGATCAAGGAGGTGGAAAGGATTTGCCGAGAGAGCAATTGCTATGACCCAGAGCGTGTGAAGAACTTTCTGAAGGTAACTTAAATCTACAATCTTAATTGGCCTAAACTGTCTTGTATAACTTTTTAAATTCATACACCAGTTCCACTTGTTAAATGATGTGCTGCTCCAACTATGCTTTAACCTTTCAACAAGGTCCTATATATTCATGTAATAGTCAGTCTATTTTATACAGTCGCTGGAATACTACAGCAGGAGCCAAATTGAGAGTTCCTTTACATTTCCAAGAATGGCCTCTTGTTTTTTGGAAGTGGAACTTTTGGTGGAACCACCATTGAAATGCCTAAATTGATCATTTTTGATTTTTCCTTAATCCCTGTATAAATATTGTTTGTATCCTGTGGTATATTTTGATTTCACAAACTTCTTTCTGGGAAATTAATTATAGGAATGAAAATGCATTTTCATTCTTATTTGCACAAGGCGGTTTAAATGAGCATAGGAACAATTGCCTTTCTTCATGAGATTTTTCACGTTGCTATGAATTACTTTCTGTTAACATTCCTGTGCTGGCAATAGAACATCCCAGATTAGAAATTGCACCATATTCAATACTGTAGGCATTTGTATCATCAGTATTGGTTTCCTTTCCTAAGGTAAAGGCAGAGGTTCCCTTTTACCTGTAGAATTCTATAGCATTTGATGGATCCAATGATCCAGGTATTGTAAATTTATTAATTCTGAGTTTTGTGACTTGGATCAGGAAATGATGTGAAATCTGAAATTAACTTACTGTGTGGTGTGAAAATTTAATCCCTCGTCTGTCATAAGACTTCAAGAACTTCTAATTGAATGGGTTTTGCATCTAGATAATACTTGCAATGGCTCAGTGTCTAACTTTGCAGTCCTTCATTGTATGACCTCTGCACTTAAAGTTTGTAAGTCTGAATTTATAGTTGTTAAAAGTACTGTAGTTAAAACTCAAAAGATAAAGAAAGATTCACTCAGTCTTCAAACTAACGAGTCCAGCAAACAAATGTTTCCATGTAAATGAAGCAATTTCCAGAGACTGCAAGTTCTTTTATAATTCAATCAAGCTGCATAAAGCAAGGGTGTTAACGTTGTGCAAAATGGATGTGCTCACCATGGTGGAACCGAACTACCTTATTTGAAATGTGAAATTAACTTGCTTTCTCTAGTTTGTAATCAATTGAGTAATTGATCAGTTCCTGATGTAAGTTTGTCTTTTGTGCTGTTCCTTATGTCTGTGGAATGGGCAGGACATGTATCAGGTAAATTTTACAGTACAGGAAACCTACCTTTTCTTCCCTTCCTATATATCCTCCAGACTGCCTCATCTGTGCAGGCTTGTGCTCTTGGATTTGGAAAGACATTGCTTGCACCATAAAGCCAATCAACAAATGCAGATTTGTGGGCTGTCATCTGAGTTCTTAGCTATTTTGAAAAGTTTGATACTAATCTGATTAATTTGACTTTAAAATTACTAATTTTATGGACAGGACTAAATTGTCAAACAGTATATGACTAGTTTATAGTTGAGCAAATAAAATAATAATTTGGATTATAATTTGAGCTAGTGTCACTTGATGCAATTGCTCGCTTGAATTGAAGTTGTGAATTCAAAACAAAGCATACTTTAGACTTAGTTGCTGTTAGATAATACTTGTACATTGCTCTAGAACTTTCAAGGAACTTCAAACTAAATGCAGTAGAACAACTGGAATTTGCTGTTGAGCCAGTACAATACATAAATTGTTCATTGCTGTTTTTAAAAAGGCCAGTGAAAGTGCAGTGTTAGATTTTCTAAGGTAAACTTGTCTCTTTGTGGCAGAGTTGGCTCCAAGGTGACATGCTTGGCAATGGAATATAGGAATTCAGTCCAATTCCTGAACTAGGCAAGTCTGCAGGACTCTACGCTGCCAAATTGGCTCAACAGCAGGACTTGGAGTTGGATCCCACTCGGCTCCTGTTTGTGGACATGCTGTGGGCAGTTTGTTGGTGTTTATATTACCAAGCAGTGCAGCTCTAGTTGGTTAAATGAGCTCTAGGATCCTAAAGCTTTGGTGCTCACTAACCTGCAGCTAATGCTATCAGGATTAGGTGTGCAGGGTGCATTCCAGACCAAATTTCTATGCACTTGTGAAATTTTTTTTGATACTTGAGCATGGTTCTGGGTTTCTGTGAGGAATGCAGCTGGCCTTTCATTCTTTCTAATGTACATCTTAAATGTATGAAGGATACAATGTCCACATTCAAATCCCAGGGTGCTACTCCTGCAGTCTTAACAACTAGTCTCTGTAAATCCTGTCAGTATTTAGATGTAGGGTTCTCAGTGCTGTTGTGCATTGTCTGTCTTTCTCGTAGTTGCTTATTTCAAAAGGGCTTCCCCACAGTCCTGTGTATAGTTAGTGGTTTGAAGATAAGCCTTTGCTTCATGAACTGCCTGGAACTGTAAATAGTATGACTCCTTTTCTTCTCCCCACCACCCTATCTGAAACATATGCTTCAAGGATCTTTAGATATAATGTGCATATAGCTTTCTACAGAACTAAAGCCAACCTCTACCTAGTCTCATGAAGTAAATATTCTCTTGTATAATATTGAATGTGTTAGACTTGTGGTCAAGGTTCCCAAACAATAATGTGCAAAGCACAGTGTATTTAATACTTAATGGAAATAAATTAACCCTTAAGGTTTGATAGAACATTAAAATTGCCCTTGCAAGCCTTGAAATGTGGATTTGACTGTACATTTAATTTGCAGATATTTATAATGCATGAATTGTACAAATAGAATATTTTGCTACTTAACATGTTAGATGTCAGTTACATTTTCTACTCTATTCCCCAGCATTGACTCTCTATTCCAGTTTAGTTGTAACATATGGTCACTTTTGAGCTGTCAAGGTTATTATGCTACAATACTCTTACCTGTGTATCAGTTATTTTGCCAAGTTTTTTTTTCCAGGACTGCTAAATATTACACTTCGTTCCATTTTCTGTCAAGCTATGAAGCATGCTTTCTGAGCAACTTTTCAAAAGTGCCAACATTTATGCCATGTTCAGTTATCAAAAGGACATTTTGGAAGGTGGGATTTAAAATATTGTTCTAGGTGGAGAGGTGACCCTGGTTATGAGGCTGGTAGCCTGTGGAGTGTTTGTCATCAGCACGCAGACCATCCAGCTCACTTACCTCCAGGTTGGCAGGTCTCTGCCAACACTTCCTGCATGCAGGAGCTTCTGCAGTGACCTGGAAACTGGACATTTTTAGCTCTCGAAGCTGCCAGGTTTCGAGTGATTACAATGCAGAAGTGCTAACTAGCAGCTGCTCTTGATCGTGCCCTGTTAAGACAGATAGGAAATGTACCATCCCCAACTATCGCCTTTTCTGTAGCTGTTAATCTAACTTTGGCTGTTTTTGTAAACTGTCTGAAACTTTATTTTTGTTAGGAGGCTAAACTGACTGACCAACTGCCTCTGATCATAGTCTGCGACCGCTTTGACTTTGTGCATGACCTGGTGCTGTATCTCTACCGCAACAACCTACAGAAGTACATCGAGATCTACGTTCAGAAGGTGCGTGACTTAATTTTGTCAAATTTTGTAATTTCAACCTAGGGAATCTTTTTTCTTTCCCACCGCACCATCATAATAATCGTTGCGTTTCATATAGCGCCTCATCACGTCATGATGTCTCAAAGCAATTTAAGGGTTAAAGTGTTTTGCTTATTTTGTGGGTAGAACCTGGTAGCCAGTTTGTGCACATCAATGTCCCACAAACTGCCATGGAGGGAGTGACCCATTTTATTTGTTGGTCAGGACACCTTTTCTTTTCGAATAGCACAATGGGGTTGTTAACATCTGCCTGAACAGGCAAATGGGATCCCAGTTTTTAACATGTCATCTGAAGAACAGCACCTCCAACGGTGCAATACACCCCCAGCACTGCATCAGCTTAGACCGTGATTCCAAGTCTCGAAGTGGGGCTTGAACCCACAACCTTCTGACTCCGAGGCAAGAGTGCTACCACTGTGCCAGGCCGACTCACATGTTGGGTGGTTGCCTTGCGTGACTATAAACCTATTCAAAAGGATACTTTTTTGTTTTTCCAGGTGAATCCCAGTCGCTTGCCTGTCGTGGTTGGTGGGCTCCTTGATGTGGATTGTTCAGAGGATGTCATTAAGAACCTGATCCTTGTTGTGCGAGGACAGTTCTCTACTGACGAGCTGGTTGCTGAGGTGGAAAAAAGAAATAGGTAAATTAGGAATTTACTAATGAGTGGAACTGTTCTGTGGCCTTCAATCTAAGATTGTTTTACCCATTGCTAGCCTAGCAGGTTTGGAGACTGTCAATAATTAGTAAATTTTGCTTTGATTCTTATTGATTCTGTATATAGCCTTACGTTGCAATAAAAGGAGAAGTCCTCTGCTTATTGCCTCCCTTATACCTGGGGTAGAAACCTGAGGCAGGTGGCAAATGTCTTGTGATTCTGTAGTGCAGCATTTTGAGTCTTTGTTTTATTTATTCTAAGCCTATAATTATTGAACTTGTGATACATAAAGGAATTATAACAAGTGCTGTGTGATCTGATCTTGTCGACAGGCTGAAGCTGTTGTTGCCGTGGCTGGAGACTCGGATTCACGAAGGCTGTGAGGAACCCGCTACTCACAATGCACTCGCCAAAATCTACATCGACAGTAATAACAATCCTGAGCGCTTCCTCCGTGAGAACCCGTTTTATGACAGTCGTGTGGTTGGTAAATACTGTGAGAAGAGAGACCCTCATCTGGCGTGTGTGGCCTATGAACGTGGCCAGTGTGATCTGGAGCTCATCAATGTGAGTACAAAATTCCTGGGGAACGTATTGTGACTTTGGGGGAATTTAATTAAAATGATCTTTAACAAATTTACCATTGCAATATTGTGTATTTCCAGGATTTCATGTTCTTTGTTCCCTTTTTTTCTCTCCCCTTCCCCCAAACTATTGCACTTTGGGATGTTAGCCTGTATGAGGGGAGCTATATAAATGCAAGTTGTTGTATTGAAAAAGGAATAAATTTGAATGAACGTTACTATCCCTGGCAATTTTTTTTGATCCATTTACAGGTGTGCAATGAAAACTCTCTGTTCAAAAGTCTCTCTCGTTACTTAGTCCGGCGCAAAGACCCTGAACTCTGGGCCAGTGTTTTGCAAGAGAGTAACCCTTACAGGAGGCCCCTCATTGACCAGGTAAGAATGAATAGTGAAGAGGAAAAATTTGCTGGGCAGGAGTATAGGAAAAGAGTGGGACTGATTGGGCAGCTCTTCAAAGAGCCCAATGGGCCGAATGGCCTCCTTCTGTGCTCTAATATTCTATAAATTTATTAGTCATTTTGTTTGACGTTGATATATTGCTAGAGTCAGAATGGTAATCCTGTAATTTCTGCAAATGTAAAGAACACCTTCATTTGACCGTCCAAGCCAATTGCAACTCATTGCATCATTCGGTCTTCTAAACACTAAGGATTTGCCTAAGCAATTGAAACCTTTGTTTCTTGTCACTAATAATAATAATCCTTGCATTTGATATAGCACTTTTCACGTCTTCTAGACGTCACAAAGCGCTTTCCAGAATATACTGAAAAGTGAATTGACCGTATATTTGTGGGCGAAACACGGAAGCTAATTGCGCACAGCAGTGTCCCACAGTTGTGGATTGAGAATGACCAATTTATTATTGTTTTGGAGGGATTATTATTAGGCATGTGGAGTAAGGAAACTTGCCCAAGGTGTCTCACTTGCAAGGCGAGTGCTCTAACCACTGAGCTACAGGACGCCAGTTAACTGGTGTTAACTTAACAGTTAACTTAACCAGAAGATTCCAGCAGTAAAAAATGACTCACTCACTCGGAGGTTGTTTTCTTGGTTACAATAACTACCTTCTGGCAGGTGCTAGAGCAGGAGGAGCTATGAACTGAAGTATAAATTTTAGCTTTGAATCTCAATGATCAATGTGCAGTGAGTATCTTTCACTTGCAGATCCACCCAGCAAATTGACTGGTTCATTCCAGCTTTTGTGATTCGCTATCACTAATCATCCAGTGGATGAGGGTTTCTAATTCACTAGTGCTGTGGAAATAAAATTTGACTGCCCAATCAATCATTTTCAATTTGATAAGGAAAGGTGTTTTCGAAGTCTTTTCCAAGCTTCTTTCTGTGCTATCCAACAGGCTTACCTTAATTTTATGGTTTGGTCTCAGAATTACTAATAGAACCATAGGATTTTACAGCACAGAAGGCCATTTGGCCCATCATGTCATGCTGGCTTTTAAAGAGCAATCTTTTAGTCCCATCTATCTGCCCTTTATTCATATACCTTTTCCTCATGGTTTATGCTTATATACTTGAGTCTACTGTAATTTAAAACTAGGCTGCTTGTTTAACCTTACTTAAAACACTTTTGGCGGCTTCCAGTAAAGCTGCATAACCAACCCACTGATGTGTCTGATCCTGACTGTTTATGCCTGCAGTACATAATTCTGATCTCTGTAGCCAGGCTGTAAATAAAGTCCCACTTCATTGCATCATTACAATTGCTTGAGTCGCGGGCGGTCTCTGCAAAGGGTCTTTTCACTCCTCCAGGTAATTGACTAAAATACAAACTATGCTCACACCTGCTTCTGTGAAGGACCACATTCTGAAATGTACCTTCTTTCCGCTCCCCCCTTCCCCAGGTTGTTCAGACTGCTTTGTCAGAAACTCAAGATCCTGAAGAGGTCTCGGTTACTGTAAAGGCCTTTATGACTGCTGATCTTCCAAATGAATTAATTGAACTATTGGAAAAAATTGTACTGGACAATTCTGTCTTCAGTGAGCACAGGTAAGACGAGTGTATTTTAGTGTCTGGAAAATGTTCTTTGACTGCTTTTCTTTCTATTCTCCCTGTAATAACACAAGTGCACCTTGAGCCTCTGAAAAGATTTGATTCTCTTAGCCAGATTTTGAGGTAACTGAATATTTTCAGTATAAATTGGAGTGGATATTCCATCTTCCTGTTGAGCAGTTTCTATTGTAGAAGATGCATTTGATCAGCAACTATGATGGTTTAACCATAAACCAGTTCAGCAAATGGCATGACTGGTCAGTTGGTGCTGGTAAACCTACAGTTCAGTAAGAATAGAAATTAACTACTTTGTTCTGGTGATTTTACTTTTGTTAGTGAATATTTTTGCAGATAATGTGTAGATGATAATTTTGCCTCCCCATACCATTTTTCCCTAGGAATCTGCAAAACTTGCTGATTCTCACTGCAATCAAGGCTGATCGTACCCGTGTGATGGAGTATATCAATCGACTGGACAACTACGATGCCCCTGACATTGCAAACATTGCTATTAGCAACGAATTGTTTGAGGAGGCATTTGCAATCTTCAGGAAATTTGACGTGAACACTTCTGCAGTGCAGGTAAACTTGAAATCTGAAGGTTTTGCTGCCTGTTTGTGATTGCTATTTTTGCTCCTGTATTTGTAACGCCACACATTTGATTGTTTAGGTACTGATTGAACACATTGGGAATCTGGATCGTGCGTATGAATTTGCTGAGCGGTGCAATGAGCCAGCTGTGTGGAGCCAACTCGCTAAAGCCCAGCTCCAAAAAGAGATGGTAAAGGAGGCTATTGACTCTTATATCAAGGCAGATGACCCTTCTTCATACATGGAGGTTGTAGAAGCAGCTAACAAAAGCGGTAATTATTTTTTTTTATATGGTTAGCTTTTAGATCAAATTCATTTTTGTGTGTGAAGATAAACTGATTCATTAGACTTTAGAACTCCATCCCATATTCCCTTCGCCTCATTCCCTCCCTTGCTTCCTTCAAGTGATGCCTCGAGACCCTCCTCTTTGACCATGTCTTCATCTACCCTCTATGATCCTAACCCCCCACACCCCCGCTCGGGTCCAAGTCCCTGACTTTTCAGCGCCTTGGAACGGCCTCCCGACGTCAAAGTACAAATGTAATTTTGTATTGTAGTGCATAATTGAAACTTGTAAACTGTTTACATCTTTGTTAGTAATCAAAACCCATTCTATAGTTTCTATACTTACTATCAACCCTCCACTCGCTCAGGTAACTGGGAGGATCTTGTTAAGTATCTGCAGATGGCCAGGAAGAAAGCACGTGAATCCTATGTGGAGACTGAACTCATTTTTGCCCTGGCAAAAACCAATCGTTTAGCAGAGTTGGAGGAATTCATCAATGGCCCCAACAATGCTCACATCCAGCAAGTAAGTGCATCTAAAACAGGACTTGCTTTTTAAACTTAAACTGTTCTGTATCTATAGCACAACATGAATTGTTTAGAAGTGGATTTGAATATCTTAACAGTTCACTGCTGTAAGTCTCAAATGTTGAATCTTCCTCCCTCTTGATGATGCTGACTTAAGTTATCCTCTACTACACAACAAAAAAAAAATTACATTTGTAAAGCGCCTTTCACCTTGGGAGGATGTCTCAAGGTGCTGGACAAACAGAGTTACGGAGCCGAGCTGGGGGTCGGGGTGGAGGGCGGGGGGGTGGGGGAAGCAAGGAGCTCGAAAGCACGGTCGAAGAGGAGGGTCTTGAAGGTGGCGAGGGAGGGGGTGAGACGGAGAGACTGGGATGGATGGACTGTGGGATGGAGTTCCATAGGGTGGGTGCAGAGTGGTGGAAGGCCTGTCCTCCAATAGTGGGATGAGCAAGGTGGGGGACGTAATACCACAACAACAACTTGCATTTATGTTCGGAGGCGAGCCATATGGCGGAGGTGGAGGAAAGTGGTTCTGGTCAGGGATTAAGGAAGGACAGCTGTGAGTCTGAGGATAGGTTGAGGAGGTCAGAGGACATAAGTCATTGACTAGAGCGAAGGAGTATGGCTTCTGTTGTTGACATTTAGTTGCGAGAAATTTGTGATCCGGTACTTTATCAAATGCAAGTATTATGGCGTTTCCATGCCTGGAATACCGAATCTTCGGGCCCCACACCGCCTCGCCCGCTCTCCCGACGTCACCGTTTGCTTGCTTGTGTCTGACCTTGCTGCTCGTGCGAAAAGCTAATTATCCAGAATCTCAGATAGTACTGGACTGCTTAAAGCAGTCAGTTGATGCGGGCGTGTCAACTAGGCATGTCTGAACGCCAGTGACCTCTGGAACTGTATGACTCAATTCCTCTGCCTTTATCTCTAAATCCCACTTCATGACTTATCTTTTTGCCTATGGTCACTTCCCCCTTCTTTGCCCGGCCACCACCCCTGCCATGATGCAGCACTTGGACACTATGCCGCTTGAAGGGTGCTTCATAAATGCATGTTGCCCTAACTGTTTTTTGAGAAGCTACTTTGGAGTTATCAATTCCTGTAATTAAGCTTTTTAAACTTGATCTATTTTTAAGACTGAATATATTTGCATTAAAAAATGCTGGCTCGTTAAAACCAATGCTCTTTAAAACCAATTCAAACTTTTATGTGAACCAAACATAAGTGTTTGAGCAATATTGCCCAGTGTGGAATATAACCAGTGTTGTATGAATAAATCTACATTATCCGTTCTACAGGTTGGTGATCGCTGCTATGATGAACAAATGTATGAAGCGGCTAAACTGCTGTATAACAATGTTTCCAACTTTGGTCGTTTGGCATCCACACTGGTTCACCTGGGAGAATACCAGGCTGCAGTGGATGGTGCACGCAAAGCAAATAGCACCCGGACTTGGAAAGAGGTGAATTATTAGCATCCTGCTTAATAGTCTTTAGTCATAGCAGTATTAAGCTGGTTGAAGAGCTCTGAAAGTGAGCGCTGATCACTCCAGTGAATTTAATGTAGCTGAATGACGCAGGGAATCTGGATTGGTTAATGTCATGATGGCAAGGTGTGGGTTGGGGTTGTTTGGTTTTGCCTCCACACTTTGCGAAAGAATTGATTTGAAGTTGACTCTGAAATAATCGGAATAGAATACGCAGTTTTGAGTTGATCTACTGGTGGATGATGCAGGAAAATGGATTCAGAAGAAAGTAAGCAATACTTCCAGATGGGTATTTTAAAAACAGCAAGTTAAGTTAGAAAGATGGTCATGTCACTATTCACCTTGCAGCTCAAGCTGTCTCTAGTAACATTTCTGAATGGTAAACATGGCATTAAAAATGCATCCAGTATATTCTGCAAATTTCCAGTGGTAACCATTCTAACTTCAAGATCTGAGTGGCTCAAAATAGTAACTTCAAAATACAACCCTGCGAACTGGTTTTGAAAGCTCTCGATAAGATTATTCAGATGTTGCTGCCAAATACTTTCTAATGTTGGTTGTGTTTGCAGGTGTGCTTTGCTTGTGTTGAAGGAAAGGAATTTCGTCTGGCGCAGATGTGTGGCCTTCATATTGTAGTACACGCTGATGAACTGGAGGAATTAATTAACTATTACCAGGTAAGTTACTACACCGTGTCTCAACTATTGGTAGGTTATACAGACTCTACATTTAACACCTACAGAATAGCATATACAGGGCTGAAAGAAAACTTGCCTTCAAAGCCCTCCACCGCATTGCTCCTTCCTGTCTCTGTGACCTGCGAATCCCATATCAACCTGTCCGTTCCCTCTGCTCAACAGGCTCCAGCCTGCTCCATGTCCCCTGTCCAGCATGCCACACCATTGGTGGTCGGGCCTTCAGCTTCCATCCTTTGCCTTGCTCCCTCCCTTACCTGCACAAATATTGGTTATTCAATCTTTTTTTGGAGGGGAGTTGGGGGTTAGAGGAAGAAAAAGAACTACTTGCCAGTGGAAGTCTGTAATTGTCATTACTCACCGTGTGGCAAGTGTACAGTTGGCTTCATAGCCTCAATATTGCAAGACTGGCCAGGCCATAATGTTTATGAACCTTTTCGCTTGCTCTCTCTCACTGCAAGCCACTGAGCAATACATTAGATTGGTATGTTTATACTGCCACTTGGCAATGTTGTAGGTGACACCATTGAAACTTCATTTCTCTTCTGAACTTTCTTGTTTCAGGACCGTGGCTACTTTGAGGAGCTCATCACCATGTTGGAAGCAGCATTGGGTCTGGAGCGTGCTCACATGGGGATGTTCACTGAACTGGCTATTCTGTATTCAAAGTACAAACCACAGAAGATGAGAGAGCACTTGGAACTCTTCTGGTCCAGAGTCAACATTCCTAAGGTAGTGAGCTCTTACAATTCCTTTTTAAGATGGTTTCAATGTACTCTACAAATTGTCCTAACTGGGTCTAATTAAATCTAGGTGCTGAGAGCTGCTGAGCAAGCCCACCTCTGGGCAGAATTGGTCTTCCTCTATGACAAATATGAAGAATATGACAATGCTGTCATTACTATGATGAACCACCCAACAGATGCATGGAAGGAGGGACAGTTCAAAGATATTATCACCAAGGTAAGACATTCTTCAAACCGCTCCGACTGTCCAGTTGGTCTTTTTTTAAACTCCTTTCGAGATGTGGGTTTCGCTGGCAGGGCCAGTAATTTTTTTATCTATCCATAGATCTTCTGAGTGTCTTAGTGTGTGGGCTCAGATACTGTTAAGTCAGCCATGTAATGTCTAGTCCAGTTTCTGAGCCAGGCAGGTCTGCAGTACTTTAGGGCACTGCTGATGATCCAGCCAGCCTTCCATCTCAGTTGGATTTGGAGGAGTAAACTGGTCACTGGGGGCATTCTACCCACTCAGCACCTATTAACCTGTAATCCAAAGCCCTAACACATAATGGTCCTGGATAAGCAGTAGGAAAACTTGCTAGATAGACATTGTTTTCAATGGCAAGCCATGTGGTATTAACTGGTTAATTTCCAACAGTGCTCCAAGCACCCTTTGGAATCCCCAAGCCTGGTCTCTTGCCAACCTGCATCTAATGCACTCAATGGATACTCAAACTGTGTTTCCACGTGTCAAGCTGCCTGGTTGCCCCCCAAAAATCGAGTGACATTACAATTGCATTCTTCCTTTTCCCCCATTCTATAAATTATAGATTTCTTCCTTCTATTAATTAGATTTCAAAACATGTGGGCTTTAAATGTCAAATTGGATCATTTTTAAAACTTCTGTGGGTTTTTCTTTTACAGCTTTAGTTTTTCATTTATCCTGTTTGCTTTTAGATTCAGAAAGAGAATCTTAAGCTTTGATTTACTTGTACTATAATTTAGTTTTTTTTTGTCAGAAGGGTATATTTGAAGCTCATGGAATTGCCATTCTTGAGTATCCAAACTAATGTGCCACATATATATGGAAATATGAAATATACATATGGAAATCTCCTCTGTCCAAAATGGAGTGTAGTCTACATTGTGCACTGGAGGGTTGCCCTCTGCTTGTTTATTTAATCCGTGAAAGTAACGGGTGAGGTTGGCAACAGCCAAGGCTTGGAGCCCAGAGTGTGTATTGCAGTATTGCTAGAAAATGTTAATAAAATCACTTGTACATCATTTGTAAAATGTTAATAAAATCACTTGTACACAGTGCCCTCTGGTGGCTGCAATATGAAATATGACAGTTTGCTAAATGACAAGTCTCTGGGATTTCTATATATTATGTATATATATATATATAGAGGGGATGCATGGAACTTTTGGTTTGAATACTCTTGAGCATGTTAATAGGTTTCCACATAGGTCAGATACCTGGTTGACCAAAAAATGATTTTTTTTTAACAATTTGGCTGTTTTAGTTAATCCTTAAATTCAAAATTGTTAACTGCCAGTTTAATGGGGTTACTGCAACTAGATTTTAGCACATATTTCTATTAATTGGCTTGATATTGTTGGGCTGCTACCATAAAATGGACTTGCAGAATTTAGAAAGATTAGCAAAGTTTACATAGGTTGGTATGTTTACAACTGAATGCAACTTCATTAAAACACGTTGACATGATGATGCTCTGTTTTAGGCACAAATGGTGTTGAGTATTCAGAACATCTTAAGGATGATCAAAAGCCAGATTCTTCATGGGTTTCTCAATTCTTATTGCCCAAATGGCAGCTTTACTTACACACAGCTAGGTGCAGACTTAAATGTTTTCCCTAACCATCTCCTCCCCCCATGTTGGAAGTGAATGAAAATCCACAGTCAATCCACTTCACAGTATAACCTGTGAAGCACTCTGAGACGTCTCAACAACCTGATAATGCACTATATCAAATGGAGGGACTGTTGTTGAATCCCACTGTATCTTGTCACTTTCTAATCTGTTTCCCCAGGTTGCTAATGTGGAGCTGTACTACAAAGCCACACAATTCTACTTGGAATTTAAGCCTCTGTTGCTGAATGACTTGCTCATGGTGCTGTCCCCTCGATTGGACCATACTCGTGCTGTTAACTACTTCAGCAAGGTAATTCACAGCTGCTTTCCACCATTATGGTACAAATCAGTTTGGGTTGGGTGCTGTTTATAGAGAATTGACTGACTAGCCAATCCTCAAGCTTGGGCTTTCTCATCTTTCCAACTGGCAAAAGTAAAGCCAGGACAATACTTTAGGATGTACCAGGACAGTCTAATCAACAGGATTTGGAATCGCAAGCACGACATAGGTTCAGAATTGTAAAGGGCAATTTCAGGATGGATACCAGGAAGCTTTTCTTTACCCAGACAATAACTTGACCTGTGCAGGTTGCTAGGGCCAGAATGCTAGACTACAAAGGATATTTAACATCCACCTGGACGGACAGACGTCTCAACCAAAGGACTGCACCAGTATATGGGTTCCAACCCACAATATTATGACTCTGAGTGCTACCAACTGAGACAGGCTGACACATGGATGGGAGGACAGTATGGTGTTTTGGAACGATTAGATCAGATGAGCCGAAGGGACTTCACCAAAATCCTGTAGTTCAGTGGAGTCCTGGAGTCCTGTAGCTCAGTGGTTAGAGCACTCGCCTTGCAAGCGAGACACCTGGGTTCAATTCCCGGCAGGGCGAAACCTTGGGCAAGTTTCCTTACTCCACACACCTAATAATAATCCCTCCAAAACAAAACAATAATAAATTGGTCATTTTCAATCCACGACTGTTTGTGGGACGCTGCTGTGCGCAATTGGCTGCCGCGTTTTGCCCACAAATATACAGTCAATTCACTTTACAATCTATTCTGTGAAGCGCTTTGAAATGTCGAAGATGTGAAAAGCGCAATATAAAATGCAAGGATTATTATAAATTAATCTTGTGAATTCCCTATAATATCAGTAGTTCCAAAAATTGTCAGCTTCTTGTACTGATAACTATTTGCAACGGTGATATGACAAATGGGTTCATCACCTATATTACTAAAGATATTTTATTCTGCAAGGTTAAACCATGAATTTAGATTATAAATCCTTTCTGTAATGAAGCAAATTCTTGAGGCAATTGTAATAATCATTATATGGATTTTTGGCTTTACTTCTAAATGATTTTTGTCCCTGTACTGTTCTAATAGATATGAAGCTCATTCTGATTATCTGCAGGTTAAACAGTTGTCTTTGGTTAAACCATATCTACGTTCAGTACAAAGCAACAACAATAAGAGTGTGAATGAGGCACTGAACAATCTCTTCATCCAGGAGGAAGATTATCAGGTGGGTGAGAACAGCCAAGATCCAGCACACCTGCCTTTCTCTTCCAGAATTTCATTTCTCCATTCTAGGGGTAATAATTCTTTCAAAATAATAATAAATTGGTACTTCAATCCACAACTGTTTGTGGGACACTGCTGTGCGCAATTGGCTGCCGCATTTCACTCACAAAATATAGTCAATTCACTTTACGGTGTATTCTGTGAAGCGCTTTGATGTCTGGAAGAAATGGTAAGGCACTATATCAACTGCAAGTATTATTTCATAAAATGTATATACAGTACTTAAAGGGACTAAATAAGTATTGGATAATTATAGTAAAAAAAACCTGTAATCACAATTTGGAAGACCTTTACTTTGGCCTAACTCCCCACATTTATGGGTTGGCACTATTGCCTTTGCCAAATGTGGGTTTGTGAGTAAATTGAATCTTTTAGGAATTGCTTAATATACAAGTCGTATTAATGTCAGATCAGATTTTTCACATTTGGCAGTACAGGAATGGGCTTGTGCTCACTTAAGCCTTAGATTAACCTCTGGTGTGAGTTGGGTGAGCACTCCAATGTATGTACTGGTCTTGTGATGTTTCTCAACTTGGAGAAAATTATGCTAATTTTTTAGCCAGGAAGTGCCTTTATTTTTTCCTGGGAAGGCCATGCATCCTTATTCCTATCTGGGGCATTACCCTTGAGGGTGGCACATCACAGTGAAATGTTTTTCTGTCTTAACTGATCTTAGATTGGGTAGCAGTTAACATCAAGTGAACTCAATACAGAGTAATTCAAACATGCAATGTTTCGGTCTAACTTTATGGGTGGTGTAAGACTGTGCTTCATTTGGCTGCCTTGCCCATTGGGAAAGTATTTTTCTAGTTTATAGAACAAATTTAATGTTTCTGAAGCCCTCTGGCTCCATGTTTCTCTTCTAGTCTTGATGTATCCACTTTGCAATGCCTGAGATGTGGAAGTTACTGTGGTGAACATTGAAAACTCATGCCTAGTTTAACTGCAACCTTTCAACTTTATAGGCCCTTCGTACTTCCATAGATGCGTACGATAACTTTGACAACATCTCCCTGGCACAGCGACTGGAGAAACACGAATTGATTGAGTTCCGACGAATTGGTGCATATCTGTTTAAGGGCAACAACCGCTGGAAACAGAGTGTGGAACTGTGCAAGAAGGATCGGCTGTACAAAGTAAGGCATTTTTCATGATCAATTTTGGCTTGAAGTCGACTAGATGAGAGGCTAGAATTAGTTTAGGAAAAAAAATTAGATTTGTGTATTGAAGCACTAGTATGTTATGAAGAAGAAGCTAATTTACAACCTGTACCAGCAAATGGAAATCTCTCGCCCTGTAGAAAATGACTTCAAACTGCACATACCATTTCCATGGTTGGCACTGAATAATCCAGCAAAGCCTAGTTAAAGGAGAAGGGCAATGCAGTGGAATCTGCTTTTGGCGGACACCAGTTAACCCCAGACGTCGAGTAAATTGAACAAAACGCCCGGCATCGATTCATTTGTATTCTTACCTGTTTTACATATGCCGGTTGATTTGGGCAAAAATCCAGTCACTCCGGGCAAAATACCACGCTGGTCGCTGCTGACTGTACTCACTCGAGCCTTCTGTGTGTCCATTCAGCCACAAGGGGCTCTGGGATGGAGATGGGAGGAGTCTACGATTCATTAACAGCAACTCCAGTCATTCACAGTGATTACTGTCACTCAGTGAGTGAGGGGTGGGGCAGAGGAACGGAAGAACAAGGGTGGGAAATCGGGATTGATTGACACTGAGCCACTTGGGAATGGGTGGAACCAATCCAACCACAAGCAGCTGCAGGCTGTCAGTCACCTCAACCTCACTGCAAATTGGTCCACTTCCCATCCAATGGAAACAGCAACGGGAGGGGGCGGGAGTGCCTCTGCTGGTGTTTTGCAGCCAGACAAAGATTACTATATTTTACTGAATTCTGTGAGTACAGGATTTAACATTAACTCCAAAGGTTAACGTACATGGGGTCCCATTTGGTGAGTTAAAAAGTGAAACAACGTCATTACGTACTGTAAGTGCCACCACAGCTCCTCTGCTGGGCGGGATAGGTATTTCAGCTAACCTCAAACGCTTCTTAATGGTCTCCTTATTTAAGAAAGGACGCACTCGCCTTAAAGGGGGTGCAGCGTAAATTCATTAGGTTGGTTCCTGGGATGAAGGGGTTGACCTATGAGGACAGGTTGAGTAAACCAGGCCTATATTCTCCAGAATATAGAAGAATTAGAGGTGATCTTATAGAAACCTATAAGATTCTTAAGGGTCTTGACAGGGTAGATGCTGTAAGACTGTTTCCCCTGGTTGGAGAATCTAAAACTCAGGGTCATAGTCTCAACATTAAGTGTCAGTCTTTTTGAACTGAGTTGAGGAAATATATCTTCACTCAGAGGGTAGTGAATTTGTGGAATTCTCTACCCCAGAAGGCTGTGGATGCTCAGCCCTTGAACATATTCAAGACTGAGGTTGATAGATTTCTAAAGGATAGAGGGATTAAGGGATATGGGGATAGAGCGGGTAAATGGAATTAGGTTAGAAGATCAGCCATGATTTTATTAAATAGCGGGGCAGGCTCAATGGACCGAATGGCCTACTCCTGCTCCTACGTCTTATGGTCTTAAGCCGGATAAAATGGTCATCTCCAATGTGTCCGGCTTAACCGACTTCCAATGTTTCTCTAGCTTGATGTGTGTGAAGCGCATCTGCTTAATAGCTTAGTTGGGTATGCATTGCTTCGTGAAAAAACATTGGAAAGTCAATATACGTTTAGGAATTTCAAATGGAATTTGGTGATAAAGGATTTTGGCTCCCATGGGCTGATTTGAGGATATAATGATGACAGCAAATGGTTCTTCTGTAAAATATCGCTCACTTCTCAGTTGCTCACTGGTCAAAAGTGAATGCCCACTTGCTCTGGCCTTTTCCACCCCCGTCTCAATGTTAAACTTGTGACCCCTTTCGCAATTTTGTGTAAAGTGCACTTTTTTTTTATAATGCTAACTTTGTGTATCTGTGCTATTTATAGGATGCTATGCAGTATGCATCTGAGTCAAAGGATACTGAGCTAGCGGAGGAGCTACTGCAGTGGTTCCTGGAGGATGGGAAGAATGAGTGCTTTGCTTCATGTCTCTTCACTTGTTATGACCTGTTAAGGCCAGATGTGGTGCTTGAGCTCTCTTGGAGACACAGCATCATGGATTTTTCCATGCCGTACTTCATCCAGGTGATGAGGGAGTATCTGAGCAAGGTATGTGATCTGGCATAATGGGATGTGCATAGTTTAAGCAAATTTGTATTCAATTGAGAATCTGAAGTAGAAATGTATGAACAACTGACTCCCAACTCTTGTGTTGAAATATTCTAAATCTTTTGCTGAAGTGAACTGTATAGTTACTAGTGTTAAGGCAGTGTTTAACTTCTTGATATTTGGAAATGGATGTTTCTTTAACATTAACTTTTCCCTTTTTCAAGAAAAAAAATAGTAATTAGTTACAACCCAAATCTTGAGTGAAATTGTGTTTCTGAGATCTAAATTTGGTTTAATCTGGCTTGATCAAATATCCCTTTATCTTGCTCTTATTTAAAACTAATTTGAATACGGTAAAACTCGCATAAGTCTGATCCGTATAATCGCCCAAGTCATACAACTGCTAATTCCCGTTCAAGGGTTTAGTCTATTGCAAACTTGACATAATAATTCTTGCATTTGATACAGCACCTTATCACGTCTTTGAGACATCTCAAAACACTTCACAGAATATACTGTAATGTGAATTGACTGTATTTTGTGAGCAAAACAAAATATAACTCATACTTTGCCTAATTCATATTAAATGTGTGGTTACAACTGATGAGACTTGTGTGAGGTTAATGTACTCGTTTCAGGGTAGCATTTTTCATGTCAATTCATTGGTACCCAATTTTTTGAGGTCTCCAGCTAAAATGTTCTTTTGTTGTTGCAATGAAAGTAGTTTCTACCATTGTGGGGGTTGAAGTATTACAGCAAGTTCGCCCACAAATATACAGTCAATTCACTTTACAGTGTGTTCTGTGAAGCGCTTTGGGACGTCCTCCCGACGTGAAAAGCGCGATATCAAATGCAAGGATTATTATTATTATTAAGTGTGATATAATTGGGGCAGGGACTATTGTAACAATTTGTCTTTTCTTCATTCAAGAAACTGAACAGCTTCTACGCGGAGGCTCATTCATTGTTGGAGCTTATTTTTAAGATAATGATTGAGTCTAGATGGTCCTAAAATGTTTTTGCTTCTTACTGGGCTTCCTGTCATTTGGAGGATGAGAGGTTAATTGGTGCGTAGATGGATGCTGAAGAATAATCTACGGGTTTGACTAACCAATTTAGGGCTTAATTTTAACCACCAGCGACTTGAACCCCCACTGTTGAATATGCATTAAGTTTTTGCAATTTCCCTTGATATTTGAACTTCCCAGTTTTCAGCTACTCCCCAAATGAAAAGTGCTACTAGTTACATCTTGTATAACTTGATTTTTATCTGCTTAGACTGCACCAGGATTTCTTGGACACTGCTTCCAATTTCCTAGTCAGGTGCACCAGGCTCATTGATGGAAATTTGAGTAATATCCAGTCTACTTGCTTCTATGGTGTGAGGTTACTGAGCTCGTTTGGAAGTGAGAAACCAAGGTGGCCAAAAAGCATCACTAATCCCTGGTCTTTTTTTAAAAAAACACCAGCAGCACTACTTTCTGTTCACACTATGCTTTAGGCTGTTTTTAACATCTTGCCTTACTGGTTGGTGCCTCCTTATGTAGCAATTACATTCTTTTAATATGCTTGCAGCATCTGATTTTGATGTTTAACATTGTTTTAGTACCTTGTAGGTACTTTCTTGGTTACAGATGAAAGGCATGATTAAAATTTAAGTTGTGCGGTGACTATTTTAATGTACTCTAGACCCATTTGTTCAGTACAGGTGAACAGTTTGTCATTTTTCAACTTTCTATTTCTAATGTTTACCTGATCTAGATTCCCTTTTGGAGATTTGGGTTAACTGACCAGTATTGTACAGGCTAGTGCAACACCAAGGATTGCTGTTCTAAATGTACCAATAATAATTATGATAATAATAATTATGACAATGACTTCTTCTTGAATATTAATTTGCCTATATTCTGATTTATTTGGCAGTTCTCTGCTTTTCTCTGCACTATGGAATACAAATCTAAATTCCATAAGGAAAATAATGTTAGCTGGCTGCAGAACACTGAAATCCTATACCTGGATACTTATTTTTATAGTTTGGGAACATAGACTTGGGGCCATGTTTAAAATTGAATTACCTTTTAATTTGATCTTGGGAAACCTAAGATCTGAAACTGATGTGTGCCCATGTGAATTTTATTCTGCCTGTATTCATCTGTAAATGTCTTTCCTATCTTTGCAATACACTAAATGCTTTTTTATATATATATTTTCTTCTGGTGATTGGGAGTTTTCTCCTAACCTCTGTTCCTCTTGTTTGCTGTTTCTACCTGCTTTTTATTGTGCTGGATGTGGAGTTTGAATTCTAAGCTGCTGCCCTCTGAATTGCCTTGCAGGTTGATGAAATAAAGAAAAAGGTGAAAGTTGACTCATTTTCCATCATTAGTTCTGGAGACTGAACCACAGGAAACCTGCATGAATTGTTTCCTTCCCATCTTACACTGCTGCTTTTAATTCCACTAGATCCACTGCAAATCCTCCGAGCAGACCAGTTGAAGCATTAGCCAGGATCCTTTATAAAGTCACTGGCAGGAAGTTGCAGGCTTGCCATAGGGTGGCTGGTTCACAATCCCTGCATTTTCACGTTTAAAACTGGACTTTGCTTATTTTTATTTGAAACCGGGTAAAACTCAACGCAAGTATGTATATCCCGAAGAATTTGCCAAGCACAAACTTGCCTTGCCACAGGATTGTGAACCAGCTTTCGAACCAGTTCTGATGTTAACCTGTTCTGATGGACGGAGTGTAGTTTGAGGGGGTTCATAATGCAGCCTATTCCATGCACTGCTTTCAAAGAGGTGAAAGTTCCTGTAGTGGTCCCATTCTGAAAATTTAAATCGTGTTTTCTGCCCATTCGAGGATGGCCTTGTAAGTTTTAACATTAATGCAGTAAAGAAAACTGATTTTCTACCTGTGTTCCAAACAATTGGAAGTTGATTTATTACAATCAGTAATAAGCAGCTGGAATTTTATAACTGGTTTCATATGAACATAGTGCCCTCTCAAGGTTCCAGGGGAACTTTAGGGAAAGAACAGCAGTGCATTGTAGGTACACATTCAGTGGCCCCTTCCAGCCACTCGAGTGTGTGTGAAAAACGGGTAACTGAACTGTGGTGTTTAAAAACGAGCTTCTGCAACTCCATTTGCGATGACATCACTTTCGAGGTCATGAAGCATCGCTATTTGGCTGCATGTGTGCTTTTGGAAAGCCTGTCTGGCAGAACCATCTCGACTTTCACTTTTGCTTCAGTACTTTTGCCTCTTTTTCATGCACACGACAATTAAAATAAACCATAACGAGCATGTCTGACTTTTAAAATTGCAGTTGTGTGGAAAACCCTTTCTCTTCATGCCGCAGTTCCTGTTCTGTTTTCTCTAACTGCTATTAACAAGGGGTATGTAAAGAACAGATTAGTTGTCAAACTAAATTCCATTTTAAACTGAACATGAAACTAGCTGTTTATATGCCATATTTGTAAAATTGAGATCCTGTTATAGTTCCTTTGCTCTTGATCAGGGTTGTATTTAACGTATAATATTGCCAAACTCTGAATATTGACATGACTGCTAAGCTTAGGTGGCCTCTAAGTCTCCCTCCATCATTGCCCTTCAATTCCCTGGCTCCCCTGAAATCCAGGGTTGTTTCCAAACCCACCTGCTCACTCAAAACACAAACCTGGATGCTCGATCACAGATGGCAGAAATCCAGCCTCACGATTCACCACCAGCTGTGGCTTGAGCTCCTCTGCATCCACCATCTATTCTTTCACAGGCCAAAACTGACGTTTACTCCAAAGTCGTCCTGGAGGCAAACAACAATCCAAAGACGCTGTTTTTCACCGTCCACCACCTCCGTGCGCCTACTCTATCCTCGCATCAAATGCCAAGTGCGAAGATGCCCTAGACTTCTTCGCCTCAAAGTTTGAAAACATCCGCTTGACTACACAGTCCTCCCCTTACCCCCCCCCCCCCATGTCCCCTTCCACCCCACCGAGACTGCCTTCTCCCTCCGCCATGGCACTTGCCACTCACCCCTCCTTACACTCCTTTTGCCCCCATTTCTCCCTCTTCCTTCTCAACGACAATCACCCAGATGAAGTTCGCCACCTGCTGCATTCACCCACTCCCCAACCAGCAGCTGATCGCTCAACTCCTTTTCACCCCTGCTGGTCGACATGGTCAGCCAGTCTCTCTCCTCTGTTCCTCTCACCCTGAAAACTGCTGTTATCACACCCCTCCTCAAAAAACCCACCCTCAATCCCTCTAATCTCTTGCACTGCCGTCCCATTTCCAATCCACCCTTCCTTGCCAAAGTCCTGGAACACATTGTTGCAGGTCAACTTCGGTCCCTCCAGTCCTTCCTTGAGCCCCTGCAGTCTGGTTTTCACCCTGCTCACAGCACAGAGACAGCGCTTATCAACGTCACAAGCAGTCTTTATCTGTGATCAGGGCTTCCTCGTTTTCTCTCTGGTTTGACATAGTCGACCACGCTATCCTCCTCCACCACCTTCTCCCTCATCTACCTTAGTGGGATCACACTTGCATGATTTGAGTCCTACTTAACCAATCGCCTCTATTTCATCTTGGTAAATGGTTTCTCCCCCCACCCAGTCACCTGCGGGGTACCCCGGGCTCCATCTTTGGTCCTCTTCATTTCGTTATCTATGTACTCCCTCCGGGCGATGTCATCCGCAGACACAGGGGAAACTTCCATATGTATGCGGATGACACACAAATCTACTTTGCCTCCTCCAGTCCCAACTCCAGGTCCACCGATGTTCTATCAGCTTGTCTGGCAGACATCAGGGCCTGGATGAGTGTAAACTTCCTGCAGCTGAATGTGGTGGAAGCCATACTCCTTGGCTCCCATCAACGTCTTCACTCCTGTGGATCTGAACTCCTCAACCTCCCTGGGCTCACACTCACCGAACCGGTGCGCAATCTAGGCATCCAGTTCGAGCCCCAGCTGTCCTTCCTCCCCCACATCTGGTCCCTGACCACGACCGCCTTCTTCCACCTCATTCACATAGCCAGCCTCCAACCATTCCTTACACTAAATGCAGCCAAAATCCTCGTGCATGTGTTTGTCACCTCCCACCTGGATTACTCAAACACACTCCTCGTTAGTCTCCCCAGTTCCACCATTCAAAAGATCCAGCTAATTCAGAATTCTGCGCCCACATACTTACCCGGACCAAACCCACATCTTCTGGCCTGGCTCACCATCACCGAATGGATCGACCTCAAGATCCTCACACTCCTGTTTAAATTCCTTCACTCCCTGGTACTGTCCTACCTCTCCGACATCCTCACTCCCCAATCTACCACCCGGCACCTTTGCTTGACTGGCACTGGTCTCCTACTCAGCCCTCGCACCCTCCTCCCCATCATCAAAAGTAGCGCTTTCAGCCACTATGCCCCAAAACTCTGGAACACTCTCCCTCAATCCCCTCCTCCTAGGCTCCTCTCTCACCTTTTTTCAAGTCCTGCCTGAAAACTTTCTCTTCGACCATGCTTACAGCCACCTCCACCCGGCTCGGAGTCAGGCTCCGCCACTGCTAAGCTCTGAGACTCTACCCTGCGTGGAGGGCACTATATAAGTGCAAGTGGTTGCCCCACTCCTTGTTAATGTAAGCCTTTGTACATTTTCCTTTGAAACTTACTTATGGCCATGATAATGCAAAGCTATTTGCATAACACTTCAATATGATTCAGAACTGTCAATTTTAGTGTTAATGGTTGCTAATTGGCCTCATGTCCTGCAGCCCCTCTTAGAGGATTTTTTTTTCAACTAAGCTTTCTTCTCGTATACCCCCAGAGTCTCTAGCCGTACATTCATGGATAGGCTTAAGCTCTTGGGAGAAGAATCAATCCATCTAAAATACTCCCTGCTATTTTCGGCTTTTGCATAGTTTTCCTCTTAATCGGTATGCATAACATGTTCATTGTGAAGGCCAGAACAATAGAAATTGGACAGGAATGCAAAAAACAGACTAATTTCTGCAGAATAGTACAGTATTTGAGATGCACTTTCTTGACTTATCTCTGCATTAGTTGCTGTTCCGCTGAACTCTTACGAGTGTTGACTGACGAGGTGAAATCCTGTGATCTGAAGTATTCAGATGAAATGGTTAAACAAATTTATAATGTACTAATTGCTTAATTGCACCATTTGATGGCATATTTAAATGTACTTTTATCAGCTTGGATCAACATTTCTTAATGTAGTAATTGGACGTTTGGTCCTAGTGTGTGTTTAGAACATTGGACAACCAGTTCAAAGGAAACTATTAACAATATAGGTCCCTTTCAATGGATAAAATATCTCGACTTGTCACAATCTAGTTTAATTGAAAGAAAGACCTGCGTAGCTGATCATACTATATGCGTTCTTTCTGAAGATGGGAACTCGTCCCTAAAAGGTGTGGACTTTGTTAGATTTGTATTTGACTGAAATGACAATTTGTGGAGGATCCTGGACAGTGGATGCTGATGGGTTTTGACCATAGGGAATGTCCGTTTTAGTTTTTTTTTCTCATTATTTGATGAGGACATTTGGGCAAATTTTTATAGTATCCCAATTGCTGCTGTGCTATGGACCAAAAATTGAACCTGGGACCTTCTGGACCTGCAATGCTTTCACTTGTTTCCATTGTGAAAGCTATAGTTGCATGCTTATTGGGGCTGGCTTTGGAGCTGGTGTCCCTATACATATGGACAATGGTTCCTGAAACCAGTTTTGTTCAAAAGAAATTGATGTTTCAAAAATAAGCAACTGCACTAGATGACTTTCATAAGAACTGTGCTACCTCTATAGCTAAGTGGTTCTTTGAAATAGTTAAGAGTATTTCTTATTCTTGCTCTTCACAGTGAAATTGCATTTATTTGCAAACTTTTGCAGTCAAATATACACTTTTGTTTATTGTTTTTAACTTCCCTCCATTTGAAGTGTATGCCTTCATGTGTCAGCCTGGCTTAGTGGTAACACTCTCACCTCTCAGTCAGAAGGTTGTGTGTGGGTTCATGCCCCACGTTGGGACTTGGAATCGCATAGTCTTAATCGGACAATTCAATACAGCGCTTGGGGTTTGCATTGTTGGATGGATGAGTTGTTAAACCAAGAGATGTCTGCCTGTTAAAGATTCCATAGTAGTATTCAAAAAAGAGAAGGGAATTTCTCCCTATGTCCTGGCTAACAATCCCGCAAATAAAATTGGTCACTCATTCCACGGCTATTTGTGGGACATTGCTGTGCACAACTGGCTGCCATATTTCGTCCACAAAATAGTCAATCCGCTTTATAGCATATCCTGTGACCCACTTTGAGAAATCTTCATAAATGTGAAAGGCACCATATCAATTGCAAGGATTATTCATGAGGAAACTCAAGTCCCCAAATGCATGATTATCAACAAACAAATAACTCTCCTAGGGCCTGCCATCTGATATTTAAACTGCTTGGTGCTAATTGTGATTTGAAGTATTTTAAACACAAAAATACAATTTAAATCACACGTGGAAAACAAATGATTATGCTTATTTATGCTTGTCAAGTCTAAATGTTTAAACTGCTAGTTGCTCAAGCTTTACAGTGGAGTTCCACTTTGGAGATGCATTGATTATGCAAGTAGCTGATTGGGGCTGAGATCCTGTTTCCTTGACCAAAGCAATTGGCTTGCTTCATTCAATTAATGTATTGATTTGATTTCTCTCTGCATACCTCCGACTAATACAGTAACATCTGTTTTAATATTAACACAAGCTTGGGGGAGGGGAACCATTCAATGGATAAAGTCCAAATTGTGAACATTGCATGTAACAGTTGATTAAGTCGGCATTTTTTCCTACATTCCATGACTGACGCAGTCTTTACTAACATTCCTGAGTTTGGGTAGATACATTTTTTAAAAAAAGTGAAAGTCCTTGAGGACTGAACAGCCTGGCTTTTTAGTTGAATTTCTAGTAATCTAAGGAGATTTGTTGGTTTTTCTAAAAAAAAGCTTTGCTAGCTTTCCCTTTCTTAAATTTTACTTTCTACTGGGGATTCATTTTTTTTTTGCCATTTCCCCTGTTGTACTTCACAGTAGTGACTGGTCTAGACTGTCAAAGCTATTCAACTGCAGGACACATCACACCTAAGCTCCTGACTAGAGAAATCCCTGGCTTACTTCCGCTGCCTAACCTGGGGCTCCAAGAGCAATTGCACCTTTGCTGAGCTTAACTAATTCAACAGACCAATTAACAATTTAACTTGCCTGGGGTAACTTCGTTTTTTAGGAAGGGTGGGCGAAGGTTAATGTGGTGTAACTGAAGTGATCTGGAGGACATTGGAAAGAGTCATACAGTAAAACAAGTACAGGAATTTGTGATCATGGTTGGAATTTAAACTGGCATTTACTCCACTTATTTAATTGTTTGCAGAAACTTTTTCAGTAGTGATTGAATTCATATCTGATACAACATGAAGTTTTAACTTCAAAATAATCTAGTTCTCGGATCTGCTTTTCTCTGGGTAAGGTTCGTGTGGGGTACTTAATGGTAAACTGGCAACTTGTAGACATTTCTCAATACTTTTCTCCCCCTGCCCTTTCCCTGATTCTCAGTTTTCACTAATCATGCAATCTGCTCCCATTCCAGAGGCTGGTAGGAGCCCAAGAGTAGCCTTTGTTGGTGTTACAACTGCATGTTGCCTCCCTTTGGATTGCCCCAGAATAGGGATTTGGGTTATTGGCATGCACCACCATCACCCCTGGCTGCTGCATGTTGTATTTTTAACACATTATTGTAATGGATGTTCCTTGGTTATTTGGACAGGACTAATCCTCTTGTCTGTTCAGTAACTGGAGAAACGTACAGCTGTCAGCTTTTCAGTTTGGTTAAAATTGCTCTGGAAAATTTCAAGGCTGTTGTAAATGTCGTCATGAGTTCACATTGCTTACTGCGGTCCATTGAATGGTTCCTCTTGCCTCTTTTTGGAAACGTTTTTGAATTTGAAACCAGGCATTTCCTTCTACATTCAGCAGAAGTCGACTCGGTGGGAGAAATATTTCTCATTGGTATTTGGATTTTTTCAGGTGGATAAATTGGATGCATCTGAATCTCTGAGGAAAGAGGAGGAGCAGGCTACTGAGACGACACCTATCGTTTATGGTTAGTGAAGTGTTTGGCATACACAGAATCTTTTTCTGAATATATGTACTTCACATACTTAAACCTACATTGAAATGACTTGTATACAGTGAAGGTTCAAAGATAGTCTTAAAGAAAACCTAAATTTTGTAAGGTGGTTGGAAGTACATAGGCCATACAGTACCTACTTTACTGCCTTACTTGCCTTTCGATTTGACTTTAGAAGTACTTTGAGATGTCTCGAAGATGTGATAAGGTGCTATATTAAATGCAAAAATTATAACTTGACCAGATTGGTTTGCCTACCAAGCAGCTTTCCCACAACCATTAAAATACATATTTAGTTCTCCCTAATGCTAAAATGTTAACAAAACACAGATTCCTTGATTATAAATTTAAAGTCAGCATTCTAATAGTTCAGAAATTCTTAAAATTCACTCCCTTCATGGGACACAATCAGCTTCGTCTGTTTGACAAAGGGGTACCAAGGAGTTGTAGGATATTCCTTTCTTTTGCCTGGGTCTGTTGAGAGTAGTGAAGTGTTCCATCAATTAAGTGGCAAAACAGCACATTTTAATCTTTAATGGGATTAGTTCAGATTCTATATCTAGAGAATGTAGATTGTTTTGGTGCTTTGCTGATTTGCTTCCTTGGAGAAGTATATTAACATAACTGCAGTGCTTTCTCCTTCTAGATGTAGTCACTATGATATTGTTGCAAAGCATTAGTACGTCTCAAACAATTGAGGTGTGGATGTTTGAAAACGCTTGCGTTTGAGCAGTTCTAATAGTTTTTCCTCCTTTAATCCTTCGGCATCGTCTTTCAAGAAGGGCCCTTAGCAGAACACTAACTGTGTACTCTTTCTGTACAGGTCAGTCACAGCTCATGTTGACGGCTGGACCCAGTGTTAGCGTCCCTCCACAGGCTGCTTACGGCTATGGTTACGGTGGACATGGAGCACAAACATATGCTCCACCGGGAACATACGGGTATACCATGTAATGTACTAGTTTGAGTTGCCCGCCTGCTCAGCATCTGCCAGCCCTGCCGGTTTCCTTCAACACCTTGCAACAGGGAAGAGAAAACAAAGTTCTTTGTATTCAATTGTACGTCATGAAGGACTTCAGTCTTGTTTTTTTTTCGAGTTATAAACGTTTGGATCACAGCTGTCTAATTCATCTTTCACATTCCACATTAATTAGATTGTGATTTTTTTTTTAAAAAAGGGGAATGGTTGTCATGTTTAAAAGCTCACAGTGCAAACTTAACGTCCTGCAAAAGTCTGTAAAGAATTTAATTTGCACTCTGTAGTGACCAGACTCCAGTGTAGTATCTCAAAAACTGTCTGTAAGCAGCTTGTGGGCTGTCTAAATGCAGTAAATCGCATTCATATAAAGCTATGATATTAGCAGAATTTAAGTACAGGAGTACCATTAATTACTTGTAAGATGTTAAGCAAAAAACACTAATCACAGTGCACCCAACAACATGATCTAAACGTTGGAAATTTATAGCGTGTTCTGTAAAGTTTCATTTTGAAGACGTACAAAAAAAGTTCAGGCAACTGATAACCAAGTTTAAACTCTTCCCAATCTATGCAGGCTCTGTTTAATCTATATGGAGATTTTTAAGTTTCTACTATTCCATTTGCTCACTCCTTTGCGGTTACGGATGACCTCTGTCATGCTATATCAGTGCTGATAATACGGGACCATTGTTTTGACAAACTCCCTAAACCGAAATCTGATGTGTGTATGTGTGTATATCCAACCCTGTGCTAAGGTCTCGCGTATGCTGGATATTGTGGTGTGTTAGGTCACTGTCTTTGAGTGTACAGATTAAAAACTGTCCCATCTGTTTTGTGCAATTTGAAATGATATTCAAATTGGAAATAAAATTACAGGACTGTGGACTTTTGGTGAAATGTGTTTAATCCTTCTTTCTGTTTTATTTCATTGTTGATGACCCTTAATCTGAAGGAAAAAAATAAGGGTTATTTTACTTTATAGTGCTGATGTCTGAGAAGCTCAATGGTGCACCCTAACTGCACAAAGGATCATTCACTAGATTGGCTGTTTGAGTACTTTCTCCGTGCACCATTTTCTTAACCACAACTTTCCAAGAACTAAAATTCAACATCTCTAGACATTCTTGCAGTGATTTCCGGATGGTTAAGTTTTTTTTGTAGTTATTATTAACCCTCAAGTTCTATAGAACAATAAAAACAGAGCAAAAGACCTACTCTCTACTGGCTATGAGGTTTCAGATTTCTTCTTGAAGCCAATATAGATTCTACCTCAAGCACTGTTCACTGTTTTAACTATCCTTAAAAAAAAGATTAATTTTACCCTTTGCTTCTTGGTTCTTTTGTTTTTCCCCCCCAGCTGAGATGCCCATCTAGCATTAAGTGCATTGAGCCTCTGACATAGAATTATATAGCACAGGAGGCCATTCGGCTCGTGTCTGTGCCAGCTCTTTGAAAAGAGCAAATCAATCCCACTCTCCTCTCTCCTGAAAGGTGATGCATTCCTACCCACTCATGTCAACACGTCAGGGACCATTTGTGTTTATCAACACGAACGTGTTTGCTGACCTAGGCAGTAACAAGCAGACTAGATATTCTGTAATTAAAATTTCTGTACCATGTATTTACATGCATTTTCATTGATTTATTTTAAAAAATAGACATACATTTAATTGAAATTCCTGAACTATTTATTTACATGGATTTTCCTTACTTTATAAAAATTTCATTAACTTACTAAATTAGTCCCAAGAAAAATAAGTCGTTTAAGATACTTAGGATATCAACAAAGTTTTTAGTAATAATAATCCTTGCATTTGACATAGTGCTGTATCACATCATTGAGACATCTCCAAGCGCTTCACGGAATATACTGTCAAGTGAATAATAATAATCCTTGCATTTAGTATATTGCCTTATCAAATCTTCAAGAGGTCTCAAAGTGCTTCACAGAATATATTGTAAAGTGAATTAACTATATTTTGTGGGTGAAATGCAACAGCCAATTGTGCACAGCAGTGTCCCACAAACAGTTGTGGATTGAGTGACCAAATTTTTTTTGGAAGGGATTATTACCCTTGGAAAAGCAATCCACCAATCAAAAAACAACGGGTTGCCTACTGTCTGCTCGATAAAGAGGCGTGTGGAGTAAGGAAACTTGCCCAACGATTCGCCCTGCCTGGAAATCGAACCCAGGTTTTCTCGCCCGCGAGGCAAGTGCTTTAACTGCTAAGCTACAGTACTCCACAAATTGACTATGTGGGTGAAACACAGTAGGCTATTGTGCATATCAGTATCCCACAAACGGTCATGGATTGAGTGACCAAATTTATTTTCTTTAAGGGATTATTACCCCCTGAAAGCAATCTACCAATTGACCACCAACCAGATTCCTACTCATTGCTTGGTAAACTGAGGCGCGTGGAGTGAGGAAGCGTGCCTAAGGTTTCATCCCGCCTGGCAAACAAAGCCGAGTGAGGCGAGTGCTCTAACCAATAAGCTATAGGACTACTAATACTCTGCACGTTACTATAAATCATTGGTGAGACCATATTTAAGTATTGAGTACTGTATAAGTATAAAAATGATATTAGAGAATTGTGAAGATGGAGGAGGGCAACCAAAATGATTGAAGGAATGGAAGGCCTGGACTATGAGTGACTAAGTAAATTGCGTTTGTTCACCCTGGAAAAGAAGATTGAGAGGTGACATGATTGCTGTCTTTAAGATTCTAAAGGGGCAAAACAATATAGATCATGACCGGCTGCTTCAACTTGTCCAAAATATTAAGAGCTGCGATTGAAGGGGGGAAATTCAGAACAAATCTACACAAACACTATTTCAGTGAGCGAATAGTGAACCTGTGGAACAGGCTCCTGAGGGAGACGGTTGAAGCAGGAAGAAAAAAATAACAACTTGCACTTATTTACTGCCGTCCATGCAGCGTAGTCTCAGAGCGCCTGCCCAAACGAGATGGACGTTAGGTTTTTTTTGTCTGGTATTTCTTATGCTCTTCTGTTCTTATTAATGTGCAAAGGGATTGGAACTTCACGTTTTGGGGTTGATATAAGCAGGATAGCGACAAACAGGTTCCACATAAGTGGGTATAACTGGATATTACTGTATCGCTCATGGTGTTTCAAACTGGAAATGTAATTTTGCTAATTGAAGTTTTTTTTGGAAGCTGAAATCCTAAAGCAATTTTCCTGGAGGCAGTCTGTGCTAAGGTACAGTTCCATTACTGGCAGCAGTGGTTTGCCTGGAAACCGTATGTTGGATAAAGACAGAATCCAGGTTGGCTGAGATGTTTGCCAACACTGAAGAAAGTATTCAAGAAGGTCTTCCTTTCATGGGTGAGTGTGATCCTGGGCGATACATACATTTACCTATGAGCTGAGGCTATATTGGGTAAGGCAATCCTAGTTGGACAGCTGTTATGAAAACCTATAATCCAGTACTTTGTAATGAAATGGAGTCCTGTAGCTCAGTGGTTAAGAGCAATCGCTTTGCAAGCGAGAGACCTGAGTTCAATTCCAGGCAGAGGGCGAAACCTTGGGCAAGTTTCCTTACTCCACACAGAGCCTAATAATAATCCCTCCAAAACAAAAACAATAATAAATTGGTCATTTTCAATCTATGACTGTTTGTGGGACATTGCTGTGCGCAATTGGCTGCCGCGTTCGCCCACAAATATACAGTCAATTCACTTTACTGTGTGTTCTGTGAAGCGCTTTGGGACGTCCTCCCGACGTGAAAAGCGCTATATCAAATGCAAGGATTATTATTATTATTATTAAATGTAATGCTAAGTAGCACCGCTCTTGTATTGCTGGTAAGTGTGTATCAGCCATGCAGTTAATTCTACTTCAGTAACAAACTTGAGTAGTTAAAATAAACTTGCACAGTTGTTGCTTTTCCACAAGGAGGGCAGTCAAATATGAAGTGAGCTGGTTTCAGAAATGCTAATTGCCCTACAGAGCCTTCAGCATTAGGAGGACATGAATTGGGGCATCCTTCCCACTTGGCACATCAAGAAGGAAATTAATATTAATTGAAATATCTATTAGAATTAAAAGACAAAGTAGGAATGAAACTCAGTGGAGGCTAATTCCTTTCCCTGCTATGTTATATTCAATCCATCCATTCTTCGAGTTCCAAACAGCTGTGAATGGGATAATAATAATAACTTGCGTTTGATGTAGCGCTTTATCACATCGTCTCAAAGCGCTTCACTGAATATAATAATACTTGCATTTGATATAGCGCTTTTCACATCTTCGAGACATCTCAAAGCGTTTCACAGAATATGCCGTAAAGTGAATTGACTATATTTGTGGGCGAACGTGGCAGCCAATTGCGCACAGCAATGTCCCACAAACAGTCGTGGATTGAAAATGACCAATTTATTATTGTTTTTGGTTTTGGAGGATTATTATTAGGCTCTGTGTGGAGTAAGGAAACTTGCCCAAGGTTTCGCCCCGACCTGCCGGGGATTGAATTCAGGTCTCTCACTTGCAAAGCGAGTGCTCTAACCACTGAGCTACAGGACTCCACAATATACTGTAAAGTGAATTGACTGTATACTTTGTGGGCAGAACGCAGCAGCCAATTGCATACAGCATTGTCCCATACTCGTGGATTGAGTGAACCAATTATTTTTTAGGGGATTTTTACCCCCGGAAATGATCCGCCAATCAACTAACAACCGAGTTCCCACTTACTGCAAGGTAAACAGAATCGTGTGAAATGAGGAAACATAAGATTTCACCTTTTTCAAAATGCTAAGAAATGGTAGATAATCACAATATTGGACATGTACTGGAACATTTTAATATTAATAATGGTCATTTTAATGAGGACTATTTATTACAGAGTCCACTGTTGGTCTCATCAATTGGTCAGGGTTTTCTGTTATCTTTATGTATTCAGATCCTACCGTACAAATGTACACACGATCTTCTGTTCTTTCTACTTCAATATACTGAGAAAGAGGTCATAGGCAGGAAGGTGACCTTCATGCAGTGGGAATAATTTCCAATTCTCAGAACTAATAACTGGAAAATGGCAGCAGCCAAAGATAATTAGACCAATTAACTACAATTTTAGAAATCATTAACTTTTTTCCTCTCACTGGACATGTTTATAGTGGTTAATGGGTTTTTGAAAAAATAAAAGCCAGAAATAGTAAATTGGATTGCAGAATAAATGTGTGTAAACCCACGAGGACGGAATGCATTACTTTTCTTCCCTAACAACCCTTTTCCCACCCCCAACTTTCCACCATGTTCTTTAACAAGTGAGTTCATCAGTGCTGATATCAGCTTTCTCAATGCCTGTACCATTGGATCCAGATGTTCATTGAGGGTAAGAGATTGTGTGCTGTATTTAACTATTAATAAGCTGCTCAGTGTGATCCCACTCAAACTTGGCAACTGATTGCGCACAGCAGTGTCTCACAAACAGTCGTAGATTGAGTGATCAAATTCTTTTTTTTAAGGGATTATTACCCCAGAAAATGATCTGCCAATCAATTAACCCCCCTTCCCCTCCCCTCTCCCCCCGACACGAGCTCGGGTCTGAAATGCTGTACTGTGTCCAGGACCTCAGGACGTCCTCCCAACGTGAAAGGCGCTATACAAATGTAATCTTGTTGTTGTTAACAACCGGGTTCCTACTTACTGCTAGGTAAACAGGCGTGTGGAGTAAAGATATTGCCTAAGGTTTCGCCCTGCTCAGGAATCAAGCCCGGGTCCTCTCACTTGTGAGGCTAGTGCTCATTTAAGTCAAAAGTTAAAGAATGAGAAACTGTTTCTCAGCATACATCAGTAGCCACCTTTTAAATTTTAGTTAATGGATGGAAAAACAATTTATTACTGCAGAATTGACAAAAGCTACCTTTTAATTTTTTGCATCAATTCATTTAAAATCAAGCCAAAAAAAGTTCAATATTATAAATTCATAAAACATGGTTTGCCACCCTGAGATTTAAACTGTGCAGAGGTTCGTGATAGCGTGGCCAAGACCCCAGTCATTTGGTCCCCTGGACACTTCATGCCAACTGGTTGGTAAATTCTTGCTTGGGTTGGCTGTCTGTCCAGAGTTTACGTGCTGAAGGAAACAGTAAACTTGCAAAGATAGGCTCAGGGTGAGTTTACAGTCTCATGTACTTTCTAAATGAGCTTCCCTTTGGAGTGCATTTGTTTCATGCTGAACAGCCTGGAGTGGATGTGCTGGCAGGACCTTTCCCTTCACAGTGTGGCTTGCATCTCATCGTTGGGATTGAGCATGATGGAGTTGATACAACAATGACAAGCCTGCAGCTGTCAATCCTGCACATCTACTGTACTCTATTCAACACAAAATGGATGATTAAAGGCACTGCAACAGTGTCTTGTAAATAAAGATAAACAGGAGGATGGGGATTCAGAGCCCATTCAGAGAAGCGTTCATTATCATTTTTGCCTTTGCCAACTCCTTCAGATCGAATCCAGGACGTCCATTGGGAACCCACAGTACAATTCACTTGTAACTAAGGTTCAGTAAAGCTTCAGGTGCCCTGTCACCTTGTCCACGAGCCCCACAGGGCCTGGACCAACCCCCAAGACAGTACGTGAACCAGGTGCAATCTGAGTACGGCCAGCGTCCTGAATCAAACTCACGCTGAGCCCCAGCTCTTTGGCGTGAGCCAACAGATCAATCATAGATTCCTCATCTGGGGCCTTGACGACCACTTTTGGCTGCCCGCAGTACTCCCACTGTTTGAGCAGTTCGGGATTCCGTTTCTGGAGCTGTCTGTACGCAGAGACTGCAGCGTGTGAGCACTGAGCTGCTACTTTACCCTTTCCCATCTTCAGATCATTGCGAACTACCAAGACCATTTTAAACTCTCCACTCTCCCCCATGGTGCTCGTCTCCATTAGCCCTCCCTGTCCCAGGGGAGTAGTTAGACCTTTTAACGATCGGAAAAAACGTCCACGAAGCATCCAGCCCAGGCATAAACCACACCCGACACCAGCCAAGACACCGAGAGCTATAGGGCTGGACAGAGCCTCCATACTGAGTGTTTCACTCTGAAGATCTAAGTTCAACGATGAAAAAATATTTAATAGTCACATTTTTTAAAGTTAAATTTAGCAACACCTGAACTAAACAATAACATAATTCTGTACTTACAGAGTCTGAACGTCTTATAGATAAGGGTAAGATTATTAATAATAACCTTTGTGTTTGATACAGCACCTTGCGCACTGGGAGCACATCTCCAATGGATTGAGTGGAAGGTGCATTTTTGTTGGCAAACACAGCAGCTAATTTGCACACAGCAATGTCTCGGGTGTCCGTTAAGCGAATATTAACTTAAATATTATCTGGGGATTGTCGTGAGAAACTCCTCATTTCCACTGGTAACAGAGGATCTTAAAGGCAAGAACTCAGTGCATCAACCAGACCATGAACTCAAAGTGCCGACCCCTCCCCCCCCCCACCCCCAACCTTCAAACTCAAGAGACAAGAGGCTAACAACTAAGGCGGACTGACACGCGAAACAGAAATGAAGTGAGGGGGAGAAAAGGGAGTGGGGGGGGAAGAGAGGGGGAGCAGAGGGGAGAGGGGGAGCAGAGGGGGGAGGGGAGAGGGAGAGGGGGGAGAGGGAGAGGGGGGAGGGGGAGCAGAGGGAGGGGAGCAGAGGGGGGAGGGGGAGCAGAGGGGGAGGGGAGAGAGAGGAGGGGGAGCAGAGGGGAGAGGGGGGAGAGGGAGAGGGGAGGGGAGAGGGAGAGGGGAGAGGGGGAGCAGAGGGAGAGGGGGGAGGGGGAGCAGAGGGGGGAGGGGGAGCAGAGGGGGAGGGGAGGGAGTAGAGAGAGGGGGGAGAGGGGGAGGGGGAGTAGAGAGGGGGGAGGGGGAGAGAGAAGGGGGAGGGGGAGCAGAGGGGAGAGGGGGAGCAGAGGGGGAGTAGAGGGGGGAGGGGGCAGAGAGAGGGGGAGTAGAGAGGGGAGGGGGATCAGAGGGGAGGGGGGGGTTACCTGTCGTGACCATTAACGCCACGAGTTACGTTACCGGCGACCAAACCGCACGCGGGAAGGAACCGCTCAGCGCTCCCACCGGATATCCGGCCTCTACGCGCTTTGTACTTCCGGTGCTTGTGAAGAGAAACACGTCTACTTCCGGTGCGGCTCTCAAACCGCGTCTGAGGGGAAGCGGCCGCCGATACCGAGAGAGAGAGAGAGGTAACCCGGGGGGGGGGAGCGGGGCCCGGGGGGGGGAGCGGGGCCCGGGGGGGGGGAGCGGGGCCCGGGGGGGGGAGGGGGCCGGGGGGGGGGAGCGGGGCCGGGGGGGGGGGGCGGGGCCGGGGGGGGGGGCGGGCCGGGGGGGGGGGGAGCGGGGCCCGGGGGGGGGGAGCGGGGCCGTGTCGGGGTGGGGCTGTGGTGGGGCTGTGTCGGGGCTGTGTCGGGGGGGGGAGCGGGGCCCGGGGGGGGGGCGGGGCATGTGGGGGGTAGAGCCTGTGCCGAGGGTGAGGTGACCAACCAGGTTCCTTGTGAGCGAGTTCTGTGGCCACAGCACCGGGTGGGGGCTGTGGTGGGGGCTGTGTCGGGGGTTGGGGGCTGTGGTGGGGGCTGTGTCGGGGGTTGGGGGCTGTGTCGGGGGGTGGGGGCTGTGTCGGGGCTCTGTCGGGGGGTGGGGGCTGTGGTGGGGGCTGTGTCGGGGGGTGGGGGCTGTGGTGGGGGCTGTGTCGGGGGTGGGGGCTGTGTCGGGGTTGGAGCTGCCGAGGAGCCCCGTTACACATGTGACACCGGCGGCTCTCACTGGTAACGAGTAATTTAAATGTATTAAAGGGCAGTTGGAGAGGGAGGTTTTCCTGACTGAGACACACAGAGAGAGAGAGAGAAACACATACAGTTACACTGGAAGGACATCACGAAGCGCTTATAATAATGTTAAATTGGATTTGATGAAGTTGTGGAGTAAATCTATGGTGTGGATCTACAGAGCTCTGTGTGTGTGTGTGTGTTTACCTTTTTTTAACAGATTTCTGTAGGGTCCTGTGGATTATTTCCCCCAATTCTCTGTTGGAATCAGCTTTGCGGCAATGGGGTTTGCGAAGGAATGTGAATTTTTATTACTAATAATTAATCCTTGCATCTGATGTTGTGCCTTATCACACCTTTGAGACGTCTCAAAGTCCTTCGAGGAACATACTGTAAAGTGTATATTTTGTGGGCAAAATTTAATCTCGACGATGGGAATAAGATGCGGTGAATTTGTATGGACCACTGTGCAATGAAGGAAATAATGCAATAAGGTGTCTGATGAAATAATGTGGTTTAATACATTAAACTGTGATAAAGAATAATGGAGAGAATTTGCCTTACTCAGATTGAGTAATTCAAGTGATACGACCGCAAGGTAAACCTGTGTTTGTTTGCTGATCAGTCTTTGTGTATTGCTGTCTTATCTCGACGGATTATGTGAGACAAGTGGTCCCGGCTAGTTTGTCAAGAACTAAGTACATTCTAGTATTGACGCTGGGAATGCCCTCTTATTGAAAGATTTTTAGTAATTTTTTTTGTGTGCTTTTTAAAAAATATAGCAGATAAATGGGATGGAAAGATACTAAGAGTTGGATTTTTTGGGTCAGCTGGGAATCTCACACACTCAGAAACCCATTGCTATGCTTAAGAGTATCCAAATAAAAATGAATATCTCTCTTTGTCTAAAATGGAGGGTGCGCACTCTTCCTTATCCTGGAAAGTATTACTCTGGTTGGCAAGTGCCAAGGCTTAGGGACCCCAGAGTAACACTGTTTATTTTCCTGCTGGTTGTCCACTTAGGACAACACTGCGTTAGCTATGTAAGCTTTGGCTTGCAGGGTTAATAGAAATTGAGTGAGAAGAATCCTAGCCCTCAGTGACTGGACTCCCTACTAAGACCCGAGGACAGGTCAGATTGTCTGGTCTGTCATCAGCAGGGCCTTGGAGTACTGTGGATATGACTGGCACTGAAACTTTCAGCAATAATAAGATAGTCACAGAGGAACAACTCTTTTCTGATCTTCCATTGCCAGATGCATCACTTTCAAGCCTCCTAAGCCACAAAGGGATCCTTAAACACCAGCAACAACAATTTGCAATGATATAGTGCCCTTCAAGTTGGATGGCGTCGTGGACCACCCCCTTCCCCAGATGATAGTCACTGGGTAGTTTAGATAATTGACAATCTCATGTTGGAGCCATCGCTAGGTGGCTAGCAGGTGCCTGAACCTCCTTGTTGGTTCCCTGATTGGCAGCCCAACTCAGCATGAAATGTGTGAGAGCATTGTGACCCTCCTCTGCCAGTTTAGGCACACACCTCTCCCTACCCAGTGAGTGGTGGTTTCACCAGTTCAAATTGAGGAGCTTCAGCAGCAGATCCTTACCTGCCTGGATAGCGTCAAGGTAGATCCCAAGCCCTGGATTTTTGAATGTTTGTCCAGGTAATGCCATTCTGCAGCTGTCGTTCCGAGCTTGCCACATAAACTATTCATCAAACATCTGTCTCAGTGATATTGTTCATGAAATCTGCGTTCAGTTCAATAAAGAACACCTTTTTGTTGGATTTGGGTGAGAAGGAATGTGCTCGAATCTGGTTAGTCTATTAGCTTTACTGCCTTTATTATTTATTATTATTTATCACGTGTCTGAAAACCTTTCTCTTCGACCATTCCTATGGTCACCTCCTCCCTCCCCACAGCTAGACACACACTCTGGGACGTTACCCTGCGTGAGGGGCGCTATATGAATGTTATATATAAACTTGTAGCTGTTTTGTAATTCTTAATGGTTTATGTTGTTCCATATTTGCACACTGTGCTGGTTTTCTCATACAGCTTGCATATGTTTGGAAAAATTACAAGGAGCTGTTTACATTGCGTTGAGAGTGTGCTTCAAAGAGTTTGCTGTTTCTGGTTGTTGATCAAAGAGGAATGACTAGTAATGATTGCAGTCAATGGGGGAGGGGGGTGGGGGTGGAGAGTTTGCTAACAATCAGTCACCCAACAGAAGGTATTTTGCATAAATACCTACCTCATGTGAAGTGTGGCATCTACGCTTGGAAATAATATGTTTACAGAATAAACCAGTTTATCTTTCAGTTGAGAATGCAAGGGCATGGGTTTCACCCATCTTGCTACGATGATAAGGTTGTTTTTGGCGATCTGTTCAGATATAGAAAACTGAGTGTCATTTGTAAGTGTACTAAGAATTTTGTACTCTTGAAACCAGAGGTAATTGATAAAGAAGGTTCACAACCTGCTGGCGAGAGGAAAAGATGTTGGTCCCTGAGAGGCTGGGTCAGTGCAATATCTTACTTGATTAGTATATATAATCAAGTCTACTGCATACATCTAATATTAGTTCATACTAACATTTTTTTCAAATGTCTACCTCTTAAATGGATGTTGCACATCTGAGACATTACCCTAATAAGTTACTGCACTCAAATATATTTTGTGAAGTAAATGTGTAGAAATGGAAATTTCCTGCCCAGAAGGAGCCATTCAAGCCTTTTTAAAATAAATTTATCCCATTTCTTAGCTATCCGTATTCTGTAATGTTTTTGCTGATTTGTAATAATAATCTTTACATTTGGTTATAATGCCTTCCACTTGAATGGGTAGACGTGATTTCGGTCTCATCCAAAGAGCGACACCTCAAACAACTACAACTTGCATTTATAAGCGGCCTTCACGCAGGGTAGAGTCCGAGTGAGATTGTACAATGCATCACAGCTCCCAGCACTGTGTTAGATTGTCAGCCTAGATTGTGTTCAGATTCCTGAGGCAGTGTTTCTCCATGTTAATAATTTAATACACAGCTTGCTCTTTGAACTTACATTTGTAAAAATGGGTTGAGGCAGCAATCACTTTTTTGATGTAACCTCTCAAGAACAGCGTCCAAGTTGAAAAACAACAAATTACATTTGTAAGTCGCCTTTCACGTCCGGAGGACGTCCCAAGGTCAATCGGGGATTTGGACCCGAACAGGGGGTTGGGATCGGGGAGGGCACGGTTAGGAGTGACCGAATGCACAGTCAAAGAGGAGGGTCTTGAGATATGCTTTGAAGGAGGCGAGGGACTGGGGATGGAGTTCCAAAGGGTGGGGGCAGAGAGACTGAAGGCCCGATGATGGTGGTCATTCTGATACAACACAATAGGAAATTGGGACTTGTTTATTCCCTTTGGTAGCCGTGCTATGGGATGCAGATTCACACCTGCGATGCTGCACACGTGCTGGTACTTGGCTGAGATCTGTTCAGGGGATGGTTGGATGAGTTGATACGGTCGCTTGTTATTTTGTTGTGACCGGTGAGTTTCTCTATGGATCCTATCTCTAATTAATGAATAAAGAGGGAGGCAGCCAGTGTCCTGAGGGTTTATTTTGTGCTGGGGGGCGGGGGGGTAGCAGAGAGGAGAGTGTAAATATTGTGCATAGTGTGCCAACCCAAATCCTAGGGATAATGGGGAATAGTATTTGACTGATAAAAAATGGGTTAAAGTTGCGATAGGAATCGTTAACAGAACTGATGCTAATTTAAAAAAATTTATGCAGCGAGTTGTTACGGTCTGGAATGCACTGCCTAAAAGGGGGTGGAAGCAGATTCGATGATAGCTTTCAAAAGGGAATTACAGAGATACTTAAAAAGGACGAATTTGCAGGGCAATGGGCTAAGAGTGGGGGAGTGGGACTGATTGGGCAGCTCTTTCAAAGAGCCAGCACAGGCACAATGGGCCGAATGACCTCCTTCAGTGCTGTAAAATTCTATGATTCTATAAAATGTTTTTCATTCAAGCAGAGTGGGATGTGAGGAGGCTCGAGCAATTGCAGAAAGGCAATTATCCAGCTTGTACCTCTGTCTTTACTGGAAATGATTGAGGGCGAGAGCGAAAAGGATCAGATCCGGCCCTGATATTTTAGCTTAAGTCAGCGTGATTGGAATATATGAAATCTTAGGATATGTTTTATGGGGGGAGGATCTTAACAGGACTTTAGTGTTAAACGTGTAAATTGTGCAGTGGTGAATGTGAGGTAGATAGTATTAATATCGACTGTAAATCAAAGCTGAGTGTGGTAGGCATAAATTGGCAATGACCACAGGGAAAGACTGAGGGAGAGAACATTGGGAGTTCCAGGTACTTACTATCCACGCATTTTGTTGGATGTCAAATGACCCAAGTATTCTCCATTGGGTGGGGAAGATAAGTACAATGCATTTTACATTTACATAAAGTTTTGAGATGTGATAAGGCGCTATATCAAATACAAGGATTATTATTAGTATTATATTAGGAGGATGTCTTGACGTGTTTGACAGCAGAACTGTTTCATTTTCCAAGGTCTTGGCACGATCTGGTTAATTTAACACTTCTATCTTTACTGCCTGTGTGTGTTTTTATGGTGGGGGAGTGGAATATGTTAGTTGCTTTGCGATGTTGAGTAGGTGTAATAATTCCTCATTTATTTGTTTACATAATGTAAGGTATTGTGATTTCTTTAATGTACAGTGAAATGCTACAAGTCCACATTGGTTTTCGCCAAATCACATAATTCAGCTTGCAATTTGTCGTCAGGGACCAACAGCTGCCACCAAACGCATACTGAAGAAATAACAAAATTCCCAGCTACAACCATCGGCTTATGTAAGAAATCAGTTATAACAATTTACAGCACTATTTCCCATGCAGCCAACCCAGCTTGTGGTGGTGGGTTGGATACCATCATGTGTTGCAGCTCATTCTCCAGTCTATCATTAGAATTTCAATCTTGTACTGTTGTTGGGCCTTTTAGGGATAATTAACGTTCTTGCATAATGAACACCATTTCTCGCTCAGAATTGTATTCTCTTTTGAACAGAACCCTCTTTTTCCAGTCTTGTTTGACCTGTAACCAATTAATTGATCTGACATTCATCCTTCAAGCTAAATGACCAACAGTCAATCAATCTGTGTAAAGGTTTAATAGATCCTTGCTCTGACTGCAGATATCCATCGCAGTGTTCGAGGGTCCAAATCAGACAAAGTTCCGTATTTGCATGCAATCTATGTGGAAATTTTCTCTTCCCTTTTTTACGCATTGTTGTTAGGGAGTAAGGTTCCTTTTCCCTCCTTTCCCCTTGCAAAAGGACAGGAAATTGTTGGTTAATTTTAAACTGCAACCTCACATACCTGCAGGATGGATCTTGGCTGAGTGAGTGCAGGGTGATGAAATATCTCTCAAGACTCGTGATGCAATACTCATTCTGCACTAGGTCCTTCCAATTCCAGACCTATCATTGTGTTCAGAAAATAACAACAACATATTACATTTGTACAGGCGGACATCCCAAGGCGCTGGACAATCAGGGATTAACATCCGAGCTGGGGGGAGGGGGGGTTGGGATCAGGAGAGGTGGACGGATGCCAGGGTAGGGATAGGAGGTGACCAAAGGCATGGTCGAAAAGGAATGTCTTGAAGGACGCAAGGAAGAGGGTGGGTTAAATTAACTGTGGGATGGAGTCCCGGGGGTGAGGATGGGAGCAGAAAGGCTGCAGATCTGACCGCTGATGTTGAGGTGGGGCGGGCCGGGCAGGGGGATGCAGAGGAGGCCAGAGTCCGCTGAGCGTTGTAAATGTTACTGTGATCCAAAACGTTCATGGGTGTTTTTTTCTCAGTCCTGCTGTGCTATTATTGAATGATGACCAGGAGAAATGTCTGCGTCACTCACTCCACTAACCATATGTCTCTGTGGACCTGAATTTCTTATTAAATAATTGTCATGGTTCCTTTTAAATTCACACGTATAAAAATAATCCTGTAAAATGAACCACCTCCTCTTGGCTCTCACTGATGGATTTAACAGGCCTGTAACCTTTTTATTGGATTGGACGCTGATACTATAAATCTGTGACTGCGTAAGCTGCCGCCACATAAGGTTAATGAAATGTGATCCTGTCGTGTGATCGAACAGATAGTTAAGAAGGCCGTTTGGCGCCCTGGTTCCAAGTGGTCTTGCTGATGTTGGTGAGAGATGAAACCGATAAAATCTTAATAGGAGTCTAAAAATACATACGTTTAGTCCAGCTAGTCCGTCCTACTGATTATCTCACAAACCCTCCCTTTTAAAAATATATATTTTTTAATCTTTGGGACTGATTTGAGATAGGCGCAGTGGTCTTTTCTGATCCCATATGTTCCCTTCCCTGTGAACATGCTGTTCATTAAGTAATGCTGTTTATTGAATGTTGAAAGAGTATAGGAACTCAAATGCCTCCACTGTGAGACATTGTGCGTCAGCCTGGTTCAACTGGTAATGTTTGCTCTTCTGAGTCAGAAGGTTGTGGATTCAAGCCACCGTGTTGGGACATTGAAGTCACATAATCTAGGCTGACACTCCATTACGGTGCTGGGCTGTGTTGCATTTGGATGAGACATTAAACCAAAGTCCCGTCTGTCTGTTCAGGTGGACGTTAAAGATCCCTTGGCACTGCTCAGAAAGAGAAGAGCGTTTCTTCTGTGTCCTGGCCGACAACCCTCCCCAAATAAAAATGGTCATTTGTGTAGAATTGGGCTGCCGCATTAGCCTACAAATACAGTCGCTCCATTTTACAGTAAAAGTCGTGTGAGACATCCCCTTAATGTGAGAAATGCTAATCCAAATGAAAGGGTTATTATGGGTTGGGAGAACAGTTGTCACAGCAACAAGAATGTAAATTGGGGGAAGTTGTATCATGATCGATTTCAAAATGTTAGAGAAATATTTGTAAGGAAAGACAATTTTCCCCAAAATGTTCCCCCCCTCCCATTGAATTTTCAGGTGACAAATTCACAGTGAATTTTGAGCCAATGTTTTCAAGGTCGTGGTTGTGAACTGTGCAGTGTTGGTGCTGGAAAAGGTTTCAAAGTTGCTCACTTCTTGGTGAACGTTCTTATAATAAATTGTGCTGATCAAGGTTAGGGAAAGCGACGCTAGAAATTAAATACTTTATCCTATTGACATACAGTCACATTGTCCCAATCTGATTTAAATTTACAATGGAAGAAAAGTTGAATTCTGCTCTTAAAAATGTGACTGCTAATATTAACCCAGAAGAGCATGCCTTACTGATACAACAATAACATCTTGCATTTATTTAGGCTCCTCACGTAGGGTAGCGTCCCAGAGCGCTTGACAGTAGCAGAGCACGACACCAAGCTGGGGGGGTGGGAGGTAACCGTAAGCACTGTCAATTAGGAAGGTTTCAGGTGCGACCTGAAGATGGTGGAAGGAAGGAACAAGGCGGAGCGATAGTGGAAGAGTGTTCCAGAGTTTCGGGTGTAGTGGCTGAAAGCGCAGCCACCAATACTGATGGTGACTTCTGTTTCCTGCCGCACAGTCCTGTGGTGTGGATCTATCCCAGTTGAAGCTGGACTTAGATTTCTAGAAACATTTTTGCTGAAGGAATTTCAGAGGAGATCGACAGGTTCAGGCACGGACAGGTTCATTTCAAACCAAGGTGAGAGGTATAAGGGTTATTTTAATGGACTGTCATCGGTCCCTTGCTTTAAACCTTCTAAGTTACAAAAACTAATACCAGGGACAGGTAAAGATGATGCATTTTAAGTTATGTGATTCGTTTGTCCATTCTGGTTACAGACTCTTTGCAGCTTCTATTGTGATCCAGTATTTTGTGAATCATTCTGTCTGCAAAGTGTTCCACACAGGCGATTGGAGCTTATGTGGTAGGTGCAAGGGCGGATATAGCTATTGCACATCTCCATGTGTCTGTTTCCTCTGCTTCTTCTAATCAGCAGAACATGATTATAAACATGACTACAAAAGGAATGGGGCTCAATTTTTAAATCACTAGTGGACTGGAATGAAACATGCCAGTGCATGATATACCAGGTCTCACAATGAGCTGAATTTTGTAAGCTCAAAGCAAGGGGAAATGTTTACAGCAAATTTACCAGGTGCCGGCAGATCTTACTGTTGCCTTAGGAACTTGCTAGCAGGCTTCCCTTCAGCTTTGCTAATGTCGCTTTTCACATTCTTTCAGTCGCGGAGATGGGAAAACAACATTTGGTATGGTTGGTCTTGTGCTTGGGTGATGGCATCTGATGCGATCACGCCACTCAGGGACACAATGGTATCAGACATTGGCACGTCCCACGGAAAATTAAATTTCCCTATAAGTGAGGAGGAAGAGCCTTGAGGATCGCAGGACACAATAAAGTGACAGAAGTGGATTGTTAGTGGTTTGATTGGGGGGTGGGGGGGGGATTGCAGCCGTTTTCCAAATGACCGTGGGATGAATGGAGCATGTTTGTGTGGCCGTTAAAGATCCCACGTCACTATTTCAAAAAGAGGAGAGTTTCTCTCCCATGGCCTGGCCAATAAATCCCTTAAATAAATCCCCTAAATAAAATTGGCTGTTCATGGAACACTTCTGTGCACAAACTGGTTGCTGTGTTCACCCACAAAATACACAAGTCAATCCACGTTACAGCTATATTCTGTGAAACACTTATTATTATGTAGAGAAATCCCAATGAAAGTCTTTTACACGAGTCACGTTGCCCTTTAATATCCCAGTATCTCTGTGATGAAGGGATGCTGCAGTAATTGTAATTTGTGTGCAAGGTGACATTCTGGCTTGTTCGGTTCCTGGAGTTCTTCATTTGATTCATTGCAGCATTTCTTCTATCATCTCTCCCCCTGAAGTGAAACATAGTAAATAATTAATTTTCGCTGCTTTCCAGACTTGTTATCTGTCCGATGTACTGTGCAGTAGTTTGTTACAACGCCAATTACAATTTACATTTATATGGCGCCTTTCACGTCAGGACGATGAACTGCAGTGCAAATTACCACTTGCCTAGCAGGAGGCCGTCCCTTGGAGCTTTACAGGCTCGACACCCGAGCTGAGGGTGGATGGAGGCTGAGAAGGGTGAGGAGGGGACAGATGACCGAAAGGTGTGGTTAAAGAGGGACATCTTGAGACGGACCTTGAACGGTGAGGGAGGAGGAAGGAACCCTGGAATGGCGGGGGGGCAGAGAGACTGAAAGGCCGACCGACATTGGTGGGAAGGGTAGTCGGAGGGACATGAAGCAGCCAGCGGTTGGGGGGGGTGAGGGGGTGGCTATGAACATTCACAGTAATTTGTCTCTTTTGAAAGGCACAAAAGCAGCAAAGTTGGTGGGTTTAGACGGTTCCTATATAGGCTGTATTCGAATCCTATTGAGAATCCTGTGTTGGGTGGTGGTGGTGGAGGAAGAGCTGCAAAAGGGAATGAAAGCTTCTGAGTTTGGGGAGATGGTATTGGGATCCTAGATTTCTCACTGCCATCTCAAACCAAGCACTTCATCTCAAAGGACTCACTGAGCAAAGAGATGTACCCCCAGTGGGTTCATCAGAACACCCAATCTACCTCCCCCCCCCCCCCCCCCCGGAAACAGTTGAAACCTGGCTTCTACACGCGTCTCTGTTTCCCAACTTCTGGCCCATTCCCAGGTGGGTGAGTGGATTCTTGGGTCTTCCTGTGTTTCCTTGGTGGTTCAGGAGCTTGCTGTGAGGGGAAGTTAGTCTGGCAGTGTATTTAACAAAAATGATTTCATACATTGCCGTATCACATTGACTCAAGCGTTTCACCCACTGAGTTTACTGTTTGAAGTGTGCAGATT